GTAATCATTTTTCGTAGAGTTATGGGGGTTTAAAGCTTGCCATTTTGGCCAATTCGGGACAATTAACGCGCGGTATATTTCGCGCTATTAACGCGTTAATCCGTCTTAGAAATCGTTACAAATTGGTTAAAAGAAGCTTATTTGCCCTAATTGGTTTGTTACAAGGAGCGAAATCTATCCTTTTGTACTTTATATGGCGTGTGGGGGATGATTTTCATAAAAAACTTCAAATTTTAGAATTTTTTTTTCATTTTGCTTTATTTAATTGAATTTTTTTAGTGTTATTACTGCTCCATAAACCTTAAATTGCAGTCGGAACATTCAGGGCTTCGCCCTGATACGAGCAGTCTTGTTATTATTATTATCAGACACGAACCAAAATCAAAACCAAAATCAACAAGACTGCTCGTATCAGGGCGAGGCCCTGAATGTTCCGACTGCCTTTTAATGTTAATGGAGCAGTAATAACGTTAAAAAATTAAATTAAATAGAACAAAATGAAAAAAAAAATTTCTAAAATTTGAAATTTTTCATGAAAATCATACCCCCACACGCCATATAAAGTACAAAAGGATAGATTTCGCTCGTTGTAACAAATCAATTACGGCATATAATCTTCTTTCAACCAATTTGGAACGATTTATAAGACGGATTAAATCTCCGCTTTCGCGTTAATAGCGCGAATTATATCGCGCGTTAATTGTCCCAAATTGGTCAAAATGGCCAAAATGGCAATCTTTCAAATTTGAGCTCATGACAACAATACCTTTCGAATGATATAAAAAAATTCCGTCAAAAATGGCTAGTTAAAAAGTCGAAATTTGTCTGAAGAAAAAAAACCTACCCCGAGCACAAATATTCCGTTACTGTCGTATCGAAAGTCGGAACAATAACTACTCGCAGCCGATGGTCACAAACTTCATCAGAAACATCAAATCAATTCTCAAGTAACACTTGACATAAGAAGCCTTAGATTTCTTCTGACATGAACACCAGAAGAGCCTTGCGAGTTGTAAGTATCAAATTTTTCCACTGCTATATTCTAACTGGTTTAATCAGAACAACACCATTCGATTTAAATTTCCCGCATGTCGAGTAAGAAAAGATGGTACTTCACCTGAGTGCCTCGTCCATCATCCTGTCCAATTCTGATCTCAACTTCTCCACATCTGCATCCCTTCCCTCCCACACCTTCTGCAGCTCCTCCTTCAGTCTGTTCACCTCACTCTCCCTGTCCTCCTTCACTCGCTCCAACTCCTGAATATCACACAGATGTGAACATAAGTAATAATTCACTCCTAGACAAACGTGAAAAATATGTACTTACACATTAGATGTAGTGAGAAAAATTTTCAAACGTTTAAGTTTTAAAATTTTCACTTTCGAATTAACTAAGAAACACCGACCAATAGACATGAAATAACTCATCGCTAACACTTTCTTTTTTTGACACGTGTTATTAAGTTTTTTAAGTTGAGCTGAGAATTAACCGAGTATGTTAATATAGACCAAAACAACATGACTACATAAATTGGAAAAAAAAACAAACCGTTCAGTTCAAACTATTTCAGACTATGCTTCAAAAATTCAGGTTTTAAAAGATATTCGACAAACGAACACGCCCACTTTTAAACAAAAACTGAAAACCATTAGTTTAGCAGACAATTTTATAATTTTTTGTGTCTTTCACGTCCATTAGAAAAACACCTGAAAGCCACAATTGAGTGATGGGCATAGTTCGCTCCTGTGAAAGACATCTATAAATAATGGGGCTTTGTGTACCTGTTGTGCCCTGTCCCTCTGACTGTCCAGCTCTTTCCGGAGACTGTCGAGGTCTCCCTTCAACTCCGCCTCACTGGCACTCTTCTCCTGCTTCATCCTCTGCAGTTGCGTCTCCAGTTCATCCCTAGTCTTCTCACACTCCTGTCTCCACTTGTCCACTTCCTCTTCTTTGCTTTTCGAAAGTCTGCAAAACAGGAACAAAATGAAACAAGACTGCTCGTATCAGGGCGAAGCCCTGAATGTTCCGACTGCCTTTTAAGGTTTGTGGAGCAGTAATAACATTAAAAAATTCAATTAAAAAAAACAAAAGAAATTTTTTTTCTAAAATGTGAAATTTTTTTTAAATTGAAAATCATCCCCCCACACGCCATATAAAGTACAAAAGGATAGATTTCGCTCCTTGTAACAAATCAATTATGGCATATAAGCTTCTTTCAACCAATTTGGAACAATTTCTAAGACGGATTAACTCTCCGCTTACGCGTTAATAGCGCGAAATATATCGCGCGTTAATTGTCCCAAATTGGCCAAAATGGCAAACTTTAAACCCCCGTAAATTTACGAAAAATAATCACAGGTGAAATATCTTTTCAAATTTGAGCTCAGGACAACAATGCCTTTCGAATGATTCAAAAAAATTCCGTCAAAAATGGCTAGCTAAAAAGTCGAAATTTGTCTGAAGAAAAAAAAACCCACCCCGAGCACAAATATTCCGTTACTTTCGTATCGAAAGTCGGAACAAAAAAAACTTGTTTTTTCCTTGATTTGAAATTAATGGAATTTTTGGTCCAAATTGGCATTCTAAACAGATAATTTGAAAAGTTTTCTCTTTTCGAGTATAAAACAGACTGAAGACTTTTAAAAATTGAACTAATAAACTTCTTATCCACTTCCTCCTCTTTGCTTTTGGAGTAGTAACATAAAAAAAATTATATGTAATAAAATAAAATGAAATTTTTTTTCTAAAATTTCAAATTTTTTATGAAAATCATACCCCCACACGCCATATAAAGTACAAAAGGATAGATTTCGCTCGTTGTAACAAATCAATTACGGCATATAATCTTCTTTCAACCAATTTGGAACGATTTATAAGACGGATTAAATCTCCGCTTTCGCGTTAATAGCGCGAATTATATCGCGCGTTAATTGTCCCAAATTGGCCAAAATGGCAAACTTTAAACCCCCGTAAATTTACGAAAAATAATCACAGCTGAAATATCTTTTCAAATTTGAGCTCAGGACAACAATAGCTTTCGAATGATATAAAAACATTCCGTCAAAAATGGCTAATTAAAAAGTCGAATTTTGTCTGAAGAAAAAAAAAACCCACCCCGAGCACAAATCTTCCGTCACTTTCGTATCGAAAGTCGGAACAACAAGACTGCTTGTATCAGGGCCAAGCCCTGAATGTTCCGACTGCCTTTTAAGGTTTATGGAGCAGTAATAACATTAAAAAATTATATGTAATAAAATAAAATGAAATTTTTTTTCTAAAATTTGAATTTTTTTTTATGAAATCATCCCCCCACACGCCATATAAAGTTTAAAAGAATAGATTTCGCTCATTGTAACAAAACAATTATGGCAAATTAGCTTCTTTCAACCAATTTGGAACGATTTAAAAGACGGATTAAATCTTCGCTTTCGCGTTAATAGCGCGAAATATATCGCGCGTTAATTGTCCCAAATTGGCCAAAATGGCAAACTTTAAACCCCCGTAAATTTACGAAAAATAATCACAGCTGAAATATCTTTTCAAATTTGAGCTCAGGACAACAATAGCTTTCGAATGATATAAAAACATTCCGTCAAAAATGGCTAGTTAAAAAGTCGAATTTTGTCTGAAGAAAAAAAAAACCCACCCCGAGCACAAATATTCCGTCACTTTCGTATCGAAAGTCGGAACAAGAAGTGGTATTATAGTTACAATATCAGTTTCCTGTCAAATGCTAATCATAAACAGGGGCACAACAGCGGTTCGCCGTGATGAGCTGTACAGCTCTTGTGTTGGTCCTTTCCCCCGAGGAAAAATGATCTTAAAAAAAAATCGGTCATCTCGCGCAATATAACCGGACAAAACTATAGCATTTAAGGTTAATATCACTCTTTAGGTGATGTAGTCGGTTGCAGAAGAAAAAACATGAAACCTCAGCAGTTAGCATTGCAAACTGAAAAAAAAAGAATTGTTCTGACTTTCGAAGAAAACGGAATATTTATGCTCGGTGTGGTTTTTTTAGTCAACTTTTGCCGATCGAAATAATAATTTTCAACAAAAATTTTTTATTCCCCGTTGAAAAGATGTCGACTTCTTCCTGAGTTCAAATGTAAAAAAAAAGATTTTTCATCAGATTAGTTTTTTGTAACGTTCTGGGGGTTTGAAATTTGCCAAATTTTCCATGTTCTGGACTAAATTATGCGCGCTTTGAAGAGTTTATTCAAAAGGCTGAGAGCGTAAGGAGAATTGTTCATGCATGCGTGGCGAATTATCCTGCACCAAGAAAGTCCTTCCAAATTTGCACAAAGAAAATCGTTTTCAATGTTTTTTTTCCATAAAAACTTTTCGATATGAATTAAGGGACAGTCGGAATATTCAGAGCTTTGCCCTAATATACAAGCAGTCTTGTTTTTGTTATTGCCGATTTTAAATGTTTCTGCCGTTGCTTTAAGAAAGTCTGAAGAACAGTTTTGATTTTACAAGGCCATTTGTCGGGTAAGTCGGTGTTTTCGTGCATTTTCCTCGGTTAAAGACTACAGCATTTTAGATTAAATTACTTTTTAGACATTGTTTTACAAAAATCAGCTATAAACAAAAATCTGACACAAAAACAAGCAGTATCAGGTTGTTTAATTTCATTCAAAATCATTGACCGAAAATTGTATAGCCAACAATTTGACATCAGCTAGAAAACAAAAACTGGCTATTTGTGCGTTTATTTTTACGTTATATCTCTCAATTAACAGCACTAAAAGTATGTTTGTAGACTTTTTTTGTTTCTGGGCGCCTTATAGCCTATAGATATGATATCAAATAATGTGAAGTAGTTAACTGAGCATCAGCTAAAGAAACGTCCCAAAATACGTAGTATTACCTATTTTGTAACAATAAAACCACTGTAAAAGATTTTTATTATTATTGTTCGGGCGGTTCAAGCCTGATATTATCTCACAACTACTGTCTTAGTTTTTTCAGAACCATGGCATCAATAAACTGAATAGTTTTTTATGCAGGATCCTTAGTGAGTTTTTTGTAGAAGCAATTTCGTTAACTAATGGTATATGTATAACTCTCTTCGGAATAAGTATTAAAAAAGATAAGTTTTATCTGAAATTTCTTTTTGAGATAGTCCTCTCGGATTTATCTCATTTCATTTTTTTCCAGATCCATTTCTAGCCGATCAACCCTAAAAACTTTTTAAAAGACCCCGGAGTTTGGCACCAACGTCAATAGCAGATTTAGGGGGGAGGAGCGGATGACCACTCCTCGCTCAGATATTCGACCCCCTGACCACCCTCTACCGAAATGGTCCATCTTTAGTATTCTTTTAAGACAACCAGTTTTTGCTAACCAACCCAAAGTGTTTTCTAAAGGCACTTTTTAGCGCATATACTTTGATGGTGTTGCTTTACGGCAACACCACCAAAAAATTTGCCTGTGACGCAAAAAATCTTCCGTTCAGACCAGACCCATTGACCAAAAAATGGTTAAAAATGGCTTGAAATACATAATTTTCGATCTGCTGTGTTAATCCAACAATTGAACAGATACGCAGGGTCGGTGTGGAAAACAAGTTCTCTACTTTATTCATATAATCCATTCATCTTCGCTGCGAGAATTTGCTGAGTATCTGCTGGAGACTAGCAGAGTTTTCCGAAAGCACTAAAAAAACCAGTGAATTTAATTTTTCATTCGAAATCATGCAAGAATCATGCAAGAAAAAAGCAACAATAATAATATTTCTCGCAAGATTTGCGTTGCGAAAACACCACAAGCCATCAAGAATATGTGGAGGGAAATCTAGCTATAGATAGAGATACTATGTGCCGTACCTTCCGATCTCCTGCGTGAGTCTGTCCATGTCCTTCTGGCTCTGTTGCTGGATTCTCTTGCTCTCCCCCATCACATCTGCCAGCTGTTGTCTCACCACCCCCACCTCGCTCTCCCGCTCACTCTTCAGTCTCGCCATCTCCTTGTCCCTCTCTTCGGTTAATTTGTCCATTGCCGCACGCAACTTGTCTTGTTCTGAAAATTAAATAGATACACTTGCCACAAAACCCATCTTGATTTTTCTTAATTTTGCGATTTTTCTATTGTTTCAAATCTGTTCGATTACATTTGTTGCAATGGAACATGATTGAAAAAGGGATATTTTAAACTAATTTCCCCCTATTGTACTTCCTGGTAACGACCTACCCCCCCCCCCCCACCATAAAGAAACAAATCAGCGGTTAACAAGCATATAAGAATCTTGTAACTAGTAACGAATTTCCCCTCTTTTTGCAAAAGGGGGCTATAGGTAAAGAGATCCGAAAAAAAGTCATTGAACGAAAAAAATGAACGTGGAAAAAAAACGGAAAGAGGGGTTAAGGAGTCAAGTAGGAAGAATGCCCGCCCTGGTTAGTGTGTTCACATATATCTCCCACTGACCCTGTGTGGCCTGCTGTTTGTGTCTGTCCTGTTCCTGTTTGAGCATGTCCATCTCCCTCTGTCGCTCATTCAGTCTGTTCTCCCACTCCACCCTGTCCCTTTTGTTCCTCCCCTCCGCCTCCTCCCGCTCCATCTACAGTTAACACAGATTCATATTTCAATCGCAATTGTAAGGTTTAATTCTGATCAAGAACGCTCATATTTGAGTGTATCGTCTGCCTTTGCATGTTATGATCAATTTCTTTTCGGCATAATGGCAAAATGATCAAACATTTAAAAAAAAAAATTTTTTCTATTCAAATTTTTTCACGCTTGATTCTATGAGCATATTTATGTTCAAATGTTTTTTTGAGCCTATCAAAAAAAAAATAATTTGTGGTCAATAGTCGTCAATCAAACTCAACCGCACTGGAGTTCTAAGATAAAAATATATTCTATTTGAGTTTCATTTTCACTGTCTATAAAAGTGAATTGCTCGTGAAACACTTTAACTGGTATCGATTATCAAGTGCAAGTGCGTAGTAGTCTTTTGCCCAAAAATAGTTGGCCTCATTTCTAATTGGAACAATTATGAGTGCGGATAATTTTTCACGTATAAATAATTCGGGTTTTGAAACTATCAAATTGTTATTCGAGCAGCGAAGTATCTGCGTTTTTGTCAAGTGCAATCATACTTGCTTGGACGTCCATATGTTTCCTGATCGATACCCATACGCCGTCAACTTTTGTAAAAGCGGCCTGATTTAGAAGAAACCACTTAGACATATACACTCCTCCTTTACTTCGAAAATTGGAAAAAAATCGACTATAGTCAAATTAAAATGGATAACTTTGCTGGTACTTATGAGAAACAAAGTCGACTGAATAATGTTTGTGGTCGATTTTTTTCCACTTTATAGAGATTGACTATAAAACTCGTTTTCATATATTTTTTTGTTCAGATAAGGATAAGTACCACTTTGTTCAAATAAGGATAAGTACGAGAAATCTACATGCACAAAATCATTTTAAAATTTTAATCTAAAATTGGTTACTTGCTGTTCAATTTCTTTATTTTGTTCAAATTTTTATTTCAATTATTTAGAAACGTTGGTAATCAAAACAGTTGGGGGTAACCTTTGCATCAGTTTATGCAAGAGTGTATTGTATGTATGCATAGGTGGATCTAGGATTTTGGTGAGAGAAGGGGCTGATTTTCAAAAAAAAAATTGACTTTTTTTAGGTCGACCAAATAACTTCTCGAGCTCTCCAAAAAGCCCTATAAGACCAAACTTTGAAATTGTTCTGCAATTTGAGTAGGTGTGAGCTTAGGAAATCAAGTAGGACGCACATTCAGATTGTCTGTAGTTTTTTCTGTATTATTAACGTGACAGGTGCAGAAATTTTAGCAGAATGTTGAACGTGGAAAACAAAATCCAAAAAAATACTAAAACCTATTTTTAAAATGATTTTCAATGAAATATCAAGAATCTTAAGTGTGATAAAACACTGAATTCAAATCAATTTTCAATCTGCCATTTCGTTATCTGAGGGAGACATGAGAATCGATTATACTGGAATCAATACAGAACTCAAAAATCATTTATGCTTGATGTTTTTCCACTTTGCTTAGTGCAGGTTTTTTCGATTATTTTCTTTATTTTGAGCCTAGTAAGGCAACAAAAAACGTGAAACCACAAACCACACTATTGCATTTTTTTAATAATTTGAGCTCAATGCAAGTCAGTACCAGATTTAACTCTTTTTTGAGCTCAAGCTTTCAGACTATAAAAAATTTCAAACAAAGGGTGACTCAGATCTCAGATAAATGTTTTTAAAAATATGCTGTGAAAAAAAAATTACCACAAATCAGGTATTTTTATAGGGTTTCAAATACGAAGATGTGGTGTTTTCTGAAACCTAAGCTTCTAAGCAGGAAAAAAAGTTGGAGAATAATAGTTGTTTACGTTTTTAAGGTTTTTGATTTTTGCTGCACAAACAAATTTACTCTGTAGTCACAACAGCTTGTTCCATAGAAGAGCAAAAAGGTATTTTACCTTTTGGACGTCTTACTTTATATGCAAGATAAAGATCATTTTGAACCTCCTAGTAATAAAGAGTACAACCTCATTTTTTCAAAATAGTTTTCTTCTGTTTTCAACGCAAAGAGTAAAAATGATGGGAAAAACAAAATTGATGGTGAAAAAATTAGCTTTTTTTTCTGCTGACTGCTGATTCTTACACGAACTAGCAAGTAGAAGAACACTGGCGTACGATAATTATTTTGCACAGTTTTATTTTCCTGATATGGTTTCATATCTCTATTTTGCTGTCTCATTTGGGTTCAATCAATCGGTGCTACTGGCACAACGATACCGATAACTCTTATCTTTTCAATAAAATTCACCTTTTTGTATTACTTGTTCACATCTTTTTATTAGTCTGAAAAGAGCATACCTGCAGTCTGTTCTCCATCTCTTGCAGCTGATTGGCCATCTGACTCTTCGCTGATTCACTGTCTTGTTTCATCTCATCCATCTTGGCCCGATATTCCGCCATCAATCTAAATCACAGACACATAATACATGCAGATATACTATGGAACACAGTTATGTTTTCGACAGGGTTAAAAGATAATGTCTCCAGCAAGGAATCGTAACAGATATCTGCCAATTCAGAAAAACAAATCGGTTACATAGAAATTCCTTATTTGTGAAAATGATTCCTTGCAATTTAAAATTGCGCAATAAAACACCCTGTTTGAGAAACTGATTGCCTAGAATGTAAAATTGCCCAAAAAATACACCTTTTTAAAAAAAATTCTTGCCTAGAACTTCTGTATAAGCACACACTTTTTGTAAGTATGATTGCGTAGAACGTATAATTTTGCCCTTTACAACCGATTGTCTATGGTTAATGATGTTATTGGGTAATGGTGTGTGTTGGTTGGTATATACTCACAGTTCCCTCTCGTGTTTGTCCCTCTGCAGTTGCTCCTCCTTCTCCTTCTCCATCTTACTCATCTTGTCCTTCAGGCCACTCAACTCACTCTGTCTGGCAGCCTAGAAAGAGAAAGAGAGAGAGAGAGAGAGAGAGAGAGTGAACAGGTTGACACAAGTGTGAATTAATCAGAGAGTGAACAGGTGTGGTTAAAACGGTAGTCTGATTCATTTCAAGACTACTCACACAGGAAATGAATTAGAAAAAAAAACAAAGTAAATCACAATCGAGCAGCTTACATGCAGCGAAAGAGCCGAGAAAAAATACATAAGCCGACTATAGATTGATTTTGTAAGTACTACCAGCAGGGGGTGGGGGTATTGCTCCATTGATCTCGTGAGAGTGTTGCCAATTGTGCACATGCTACTTTAACCATGGAATCGAAAACAGAAAGAAAACCCGTGAAATATCACAGAAAAATTCAAACAGAGCCTTTTCTCTCTGATCTTTTTTTTCTGCGTGGAATTCGTCTTTTCACTTGACGATCATTTGCCCCCTCAACTTTATCCACAACCCGCCTTCTCGCCCCCTCTCCGCCCTCCTCTTTTCCCCCTTACCTCGCTGTCCTCGCCCTCTTTCTTGACCCTCTCGAGGAGCTGTTTCATGTTGTCCACCTCGTACTGTTTGTCCTTCCTCAGTTTGTCCAGACTCCTCTCTAAGTCCTCCTTCTCCCGCTTGAACTCGCCTAGAGAAGAAAAACATATAATTACATAATCAAAGTTACATAATTGTTACATAAGAAGTTGCATAATCGCCTCATAGTGTGTCACTCATGTGGTGCGAGTGATTGCGAATAAAGTGTCTGATTATTCTGTGTTTCAGTCACGAGTTTGGTGGTTCAAGGCCCAACTTTATCGGATGTCTTTCGTTTGCCCTCCTTCCCCCCATCCTACGTCCTCAGTGCGATAAAAAAACGCAGGAACTTTTTTGTTCATGATAGTTTTCTGAAGCCATAAAAAGCCACTTATTCCTTTTTCCATCAACTTGTTGAGTCAACATTTCACATCCCACAAAGGGCACAAAAATTGTTTCCGATATCACTAAGTCATAGAACCATAGATAGTGATCATTTTATGTATCAAACCCCAAAAAAACTTAAATTTATGAACCCTGTAAAATGAACTACAAAAAACAGAACTACTAGTAGGATAAGTAAGAGTGCATTATTCTGTTTGACTAGGTGATGCGTATATTGAGTGTGTAAATGTGTCAGTGTCAGTGTCTGTGGCAGTATTGACATTGTCATTCATATAAATGACTAGCCTTACCCCTGAGTTTGTCCTGCTCCTTCTGTCTGTCCTCCTGACTTCTCTGCATATCCCTCTTCACTCTCTCCAACTCATCCTGCACTGCCACCCTCTGTCTCTCCTGGTCAGCCAACAGCTTCTCATTCTGCTTACTCTGCTCTCTATTGACACATAAACAGAGCGATATGTTGACCTAACATCACTAACACACACAGAGTTATGCAGTTCAAATGGGATCCACATAACACGCAAGTATCCTACTTATACAGTGCTGATTTAAATTAACCGGACAAAACGAATATAACTTGAATTTTCAAACGCATTTTTCTCAAATATGGTTAAGATTAGACAAAAAGTGAAGAGAACAAAAGTTGCTTAGAATTTCACCAGAATTAATATGGTGCCATTTTTTCTCCGAAATTCTTAACAAAAATTTTACCCCAAAAATGGGTCAATTTGGCTTTTTTCAATTAATCAAGAATTACGCTGAAACTACTTTGTTAATTGATACAAAAATTATATCACACGAAGCCTCTTACGCAGTTCAACAAAGTTTAACAAGGGTTAAATCTCCAAAAATTTGCGCTAATTGTTTAAAATTTATTTTTTAACAGAGATTCTGGGTTTTATATAGTAAAAATCACATTTATTGACTATCAAGTGAAAATTTTTTCTCTTATACTGGTTTTTGGAGATTCAACCCTTGTTAAACTTTGTTGAACTGCGTAAGAGGCTTCCTGTGATATAATTTTTGTATCAATTAACAAAGTAGTTTCAGCGTAATTCTTGATTAATTGAAAAAAGCCAAATTGACCCATTTTTGGGGTAAAATTTTTGTTAAGAATTTCGGAGAAAAAATGGCACCATATTAATTCTGGTAAAATTCTAATCAACTTTTGTTCTCTTCACTTTTTGTCTAATCTTAACCATATTTGAGAAAAACGCGTTTGAAAATTCAAGTTTTGTTTGTTTTGTCCGGATAATTTAAATCAGCACTGTACCATGATACCTATTAAGATTAACACCATTTATCCACGGGAGAAAGGACATACACAAGAGCTGTACAGCCCATCACGGCGAACCGCTGTTGTGCCCCTGTTTAAGAACTACGACATGCAATTTTTTTGGTTATTTTATTATACCTTATAGGTATCCTATTATACCTTATTAACATTGCTTCCTAATTATTACACAACACACACAATGGCATGTTTCTAAAAGGATCCACATCTTACTCCATACCTTAATCATACCTTATTGGCTTTTACTTGCGCCATACCAGTTGAATTCGACTAATCCAGTTAAACTACTTGAAGTCATTAGTGCAAATTGTTGCTTGCCCGAAGTCGACCCAAGAAGGAAGTAAGATCTGGATCAAGATTGAAATATGCCTGAGAGTGACAAGGAACAACAAGGAACAAACTATATAACTTTTTCTCTAAACTTTCTGAAAAATGTGTAACCTGTAGAAAACAAAGCGGTGTCTTTGATTTAGTCTTTGAATAACTCAGAAAAAAAATTCGTGAAATATTGCGGTAGCTTGTTAGCGAAAAGAAAATTGCAAAATTACTAATCCAAAATACTATTAAGATGATTGAAGTTGCTTGTGAAAAAAATTTACAAATTGCTCTGAAGACTTTTTGCTCTAAAATATTTCAATTAAGATACGTTTTGTTGAAAAACCGTATGCCAGTAGGCCATAACTGATAACTGTTTTTGCATATACATTAAGACCGGCCAATTTTTCGAAAACAAATTCGTGGCTTCCGATTAAATGTCACCTTGTCGTCGTTAATTTCAGGTCAAACTTTCATAATTCAAATCAATTCAGTTTGGAGTCGGAAATTTGTTGTCCCCGCCAGGTCAAAACCCCAAATAAATCCGATCTTAGTCATAGACCCCATAAGTACTACAAACAAACTTGCAAGCTCCCAGTAGTCTGACATGCTATCATGAATAATATTGCGCTAGGTCATGGCAAAGTTGAATTAATGAGTTCTCGACTTTATTAATTATTTATCAACTATTGTTAACTATTATTTCATTAATGAATTAATGAAATTAGACGCCAAATTTGAATGCGAAGTTGGGGGTGAAAGAGCAAAAAGAGTGAGACTATTGTAAATTGGGCACACACTACTTATATAAGTACCTTATTTTGTTGTCGTATTCGTTGCGCATCTTGTCCGCCTCTTCCTTCAGCCTCTTCGCCTTCTCCTCGCTCTCACTCTGCAACTGCTCCATCTTCTTCTTACTACTCAACAAGTCCGCCTCCAACTCCTTCTTTATTCTGTCCCTGTCCGCCTTCATTTTGTCCATGTCCGCCTTAGATCAATAGTAACTTATGATAATAAATTATAAACTCACTAACATATAAAAATTTAAAAAATTCACTACCTTATTAGAAAAAATTATCAATTCATAATTTATAATTACACTTACAAGTGATAAATTCGTTTTAAGGAGGGAACAGACTCAATTACTATTTACTCAGCTCATAATAATAAACCAATCCCATCTTGGAAAACACCCAAAAGGCCAGTTAGCTTCCTATCGAATATCGAGTGGAGACTTCAGAAGCGTGCTGATGAGGGAGGGGGCAACCATTCCTACCCCCCCAACTCTGGTTGGCCTTTTTTTCCAAAGGATTTCCCCTTTGGTATAATTGGGTCTTATGCACTAAACGGCCCAAATTCAAGTTTTCTACATCGTAAGCTGGAAATTATGCGATCGAATTTGATTGGGTAATTTTAGCAAATCAAATTCAAGTTAGAAAGTCAGGCATTCCCATCAAACTTTCCAGCAGATAAAAAAATTAGCCGAAATTTCCGAAAAGATGGAACTTTGTAAAAGAATCAAAATAATTTTGAGTTACTTGTGAAACCTTGCCCAGACAAGAAAAACTTAATAAAAGGGCTTGACAAAAAAATTCAAATTAATATTTCGGCTGATAATTTTATCTGCTTGAAACGGCAGAATATTAATTATTTCATTTGAAATAGCAGAAAATGTCGATGGAACTTGGTTGACTAATTAGCCAATCAAATTCAACCAAAATAAAATCAGTTCAAGAGATGTAAAAATAATGATTTTGGGCCGTTTAATGCATAAGACCCGTATAATTTAACGAGATCCATTTATGGCTCGCCAACCTCAAGCAGAAAATCATTGACATAACCGGGTTCTTTTTTGGAGAGCTCGGAAACTCACTCTGATCGGACTTAAGAAAAGCCAGCAAAATTTTCGATTTAACTTGGCTTTTTTTTCGAAATTTAAAGATACAAAAATGAAACTAATGTGGAAAAATATTTTAAAAAACCTGAGGCGAAGCGGCGCTTCGCAGCACTTGTGATTAAAGACAAAAACTAAGTCTAGTGATTAAAGACAAACAAAAAAACAAAGTCTAGAACATGGATAACGTTGGAAAAAACTAGTTCTACCAAAAACTAAATTTTCGTATATCTCGATAGTAAAAATAATTAAGTAACGGAACAAAAACGGAGGAAATAAAGACGGCCTTCTTTGAGCAGACACAAATCGACCAGAAAAAATTTGATTTCATTAATTTTTTTGTACAGTTTTAAGTTCCACCTGAGACTAGAACGAACAACACTTGAACTTTCAACTACAAAAGAAGTTGCCTACAGCACAGGAATAGAAAAATCAGTGATGCGGCAACTAAGTCGACAATTTTTGTGCAGACACCTGTTGAGCCGTAAAACAAATTATTTTTAAAAAATTGAAAAGTTTCAAGAAGTGCACCTCCCTGAAACTACAAAGAACAACACTTGCACTTGCATTGAAAGTTGCTTGCAGGACAAACAAGACTTGTTTTGTGGCAACTAAGCCGACAAAATTTTAGCAGAATGACGGTAGTTCAAAAAATAAATTTTAACCGAAATTGTTTTTCAATTGCATATATACCGAAGAAGACAAGGTCCAGCAGAGAGCCGAACCCCAGAGCTCAGGGTACAAAGACGACGGTGTTAACTATAAGCTAAGTGGGAAGGAAGCTGGATGATTTTGTGAAGGTTCAATAACAAAGCAATTTGAAGAAAAGATGAAACGTGTAAGAAAAAATGTTTACTGGAAAAGTCTTTTTCTCGATTTCACGACTCTTGCTCTCGCAAGTGCTATAAGACTCGATTTAGTCGAACAGAAATGTTTGCCCTCAAAACAACGCAATATATGAAAAAAACAGAGACAAAATACAATAAATTTCATTTTTGAAAAAAAGAAAGTGAACCGACGGAAACTAAGCCGAAAACTACGAATCCGAAGAAAAATCAACATTTTTTTCAAGAAAATTAATTGAAAACAATCCAACACCGGAAACGGATTACACATACTTACTACCTAAATGAAGTTAATTTTATTTAAACTTTCGAGTATTTGAGCAAGTCTGAAATTGAGCATGTCTGAAAATTGCCATTCCTACACATTTGACCAATCTATGCCAAAAGTTACTCATGAGAAAAAATTCGAGTACTCGATTGCAATACTTTTGCTTATTGCAAGGGTAATAATTTGCAAAAACTGGTCAAAATGATGAAATATTTCGAACTAGAATCCACCGCTAAACCGCGAAAATTGTGTCAACCAATCAGAGCTCAGTATTCAAAAGTTCGATAGCAAAAAGCGATACAATCAGTCAGTTTTGACAGTTTAAAGGGCGTTGATTGGTTGAGAACTTTCGCGCATTCGGTCCTTTGCGCAAAATAGCGCCTACACCTCTCCCCCGTTGATCACCTGTAGCTGTCCCTTGTCCTTGTTGGCGTCTGTTCTCGCTCTCTCCAACTCATGCTTCAATTTGTCCAACTCACTCTCCTTCGCCGCCTATACACAATAGTAGCAGCCATTAAAAGAAGTAATAAGCAAATGAATCATAATCAATTTTAATCAAAAGTTATGCTTTAATCAACCCAAAAGCATTTACTGAGAAAATCGAAAAACCAAATTGGGAGAAACTCTGATAATGTTTACAGAAAAAAAACGTTAAAAGATCATGCTGTATATGTCAGTTTAAAAGCAGATCAAATTCTACACGCTTCATCTTTCGACAGCTTTGATTTCCATGCCGCAGCATCATTGCAAACCCTCTTTAAACCCACCTTCAAATCCACCGTCAAACTCCTCTTCACCCAACTCCCCCACAACCCCCTTCCAACTAAGCGTAGCACCCCCCCCCCCCTACCTGCAGCTTCTGCTGCTGTGCCTTGAGTGCACTGATCTGTTCCTCCATCTCCCTCTGTCGCTCCTTCGCCTTCCTCTCCTCCTCCCCCCTCTCCCCCTTCAGTCGCTTCAATTCCTCCTCCTTCTCCTGCAGTCTCTTCACACTGTCCCCCTCACTCAGCTTCGCCTGCTCCTTCAGTCTAAGCAACAACAACAAACAACGCCATCATTTACACGTACTAAACTTAATCGCATGTTTCCTCAGTGAACAAATGGGCTAAAATAACTGCATAAACAGGTTTAAAAAAATCGCATAAATCATCAAAGAAGAGAAACTAGCAGTTTTTTTTTTCAATTTTTGTTTCAAAATTGTTTTGTTTTTGTTTTACTTTTAGAGGAGAGTGTTTGTTAAAATTGCCTTTGAAAAGATTATTACTTATTTCAGTGTTGTTGCAAAAATTAATTTGTTAAATTTATTGCTGCATAATTTGAAATAAAAACTGAATATTCAAAAAAAAGAACGGCCAGTTGAGCTCATTGTTTTCGCGCGAAAGCCTCAAAAAAATATGGTTTTGAATCTTTTTTTATGTGAAGCAATTATTTTGCGTTGATTGCTCCGGCTTGCAAAATTCAAGTTTTGTTAGGATTGTGCTCGGTGTTTCGCCTGAGAAATTTCTCCTCTTTGATAAATTGTTTCTGTTTCTACTTTCCAAAAAAGGACGGAATAGTTGTACTCTTTTGGTTTTTTTCTCGAGACAAATTTCGGCTTCCTAACTATAACCATTTCGTTAAATTTTTTAAAATCAATCGAAAAGTATTCTTGTTTTGAGCTCTCATTTATAAAGATATTCCAGCTGAAACTTTTTTTGTAAAGTTATGAGGGTTAAAAAAATGCCAAATTGGTGAATTTGGAAAAAAAAATTATGCGTTTCGTGACATTAACGCGTAAGCGGAGCGGAGCCCATACTCAGTAAAAACAGAAAATAATAGATTATAATGGATTTTTTATTGTCAGTATCCAAAAATTTCAAAAAGAATTGATTATAAACGATTCAAAATTGATTATAATTGTACGATTTTTCGGAACAATAAAAATCATTATAATCGATAATAGTAGATTATAATCGATTAATTTTTTTTAAATTTTTTTCAAATTTTTTTGAATTATAATCCATTAAAATGGATTGTAAGACATTATTATTCAACAAACAACATCGCTTCATTTCGTTTTGTTTTGTTTTGTGTGCTTTTCAATTGGTTGATCAATAAACGTCATTGCTTCATTTAGTTGTATTCTTGTTTTGTTTTGTATGCTTTTCAGTTGGTTACCGAACAAAAGAAACTGTAATATTGTACCTATAGCTTAAACTTAAAATAAATTTGATTTTTATTGTTTTTTTTTATCAAAATAACTAAAATATAATCCGTTATAATTGATTTTTTTGAGATAATGTATTGATAGAAAAAGGGATTGTAATCTATTATAATAGATTATAAGATATTGTAAGAGATTTTCGGAAAATTATAATCAATTATAATTGATTATAAGTTATTAAAAATTCACAAAAAATTTTATCATTATTATGGAATATAAATCGTTTATACATCTAAAATTGGCGCTTATTATTAATCATAATTTTGCTAAAAATACGATTGTAATTATAACATAATCGATTATTTCCTCTTTTTACTGAGTGCGAGAGAGTGAATTCGTCTTTGACATTTTTTCAAAATGATTTGAGCCATTCTTTTCATTCTACTAATACTTCGGGATATGCGAAATACGTCACATTAAACTTAAAGTAGCGGGTGGGGGACGATGACAGTTTTTTTTTTAAATTACATTTTTAAAAATTTTTTAATTTTTTTTACAGCCAAAACTACTCCATAAACCTTGAATGGCAGTCGTAACACTTCAAAGCGTCGCCCTGAGATAAGCAATGTTAATGGTATTGGACGCAGTTTCTCGATGTTGTCTTAAAAATTTTGATGCGCTAAGATAATTTGCCTTCAACCGAATTTACCAAAAAAGTTGCCACAGCGTCTTAAATTTCTATTCTTACTGTCAAGTGCCAAGTCACCCGACTCGCAAATCAATCCAAAATGAACAGAGGCCCTCTAAATGGTTCAGATAATTCTTGCTACACTAAAATTTCGTTATTAGCATCGAGTGGAGAGAATTGTTCAACATAACTTTTTTTATGTTTTTTTTTCTTTAAAAAAGCCACTCTACGTATATTGACGGACTGTCAGAACTTTCAAAAATTTTTCATGGTACGGATAGTGTTGTGCAAGTTGGAATTGAATCTGAGTCGGTATATGCTTCGTGTGAATTCAAACCTGGTAATATATGAAGCATTAATTGTCCCGAAACTGCCAACTTCAGGAACTGAAAATCTTGCTAACTTTTATCTTTTGACTTTTATTTTTCTTACTCAAGGTTACACTATTTTACTAATGGTATAAAAATAATGGTCAATTTTTCTTAAGTTAAAAAAATGTCAGTTTATCACTGTTATGGGTTTTATCAATGATTTGAGGGCTTAAGGTGTTAACCAAGCCTAATTTTGGACTCAATTAAATCTGAATCAGAACTCATGAGAGAACAGATATGTCTGAACTAAAATATCAGAATTAAAACAGACATGCTTAAGAAGACCTGCAGCAGAATTGAAGATTTACAGTTATCAGATTTGATTTTGATGAATAACTTCACAACGGGTAAATCATCAGTTCTTAGCTGTTTTTCTTTGAAGTTTTTATCAAAATATGACCTGAGGAAAGTATGGCCAAATTATCTTCTGGGAGAGCTCAGAAAATCACTTTACTCGACTTATATAAATTACAAAAGCATAAATCATAACTTTACTTTCCAAATTTTACCTGTCCATTTCCGCCTGCAATCTCTGCTGTTCCCTCTGGGCGTCCAACTTGTCCTTGGCCGCCTGTGCCTCCAACTCCTTCAGTCTCTTCCCCTTGCTCTCCCCCTCCCTCTCCAGCTCCTTCTGCAACTTCTCCGCATTCTGCTTCGCCAGTCTCAGCTCATCTACCCAACACACAATCAGTCATTAGTTCAATGTTTCAAAAATGATCTTTTATAGTTTTTAGTTTTTTTTATTTTTTATTAACTTTGATTTTTTGAGGCACTTGAGATTCAAGTTTCATTTTGTTGTAAAAGTATATATAAAAAGTGTTTTTCTCTACTGACAGAAAAAGCAATGTGGCAAAAATAAACATAATTTTTTCACTAAAATGTATCTAGTAGCACTCACCTCCCCCTCCCCCCCCCCCTCAAACTAGGCGCGGTGTTATAGGAGCGGTGCTCGGAAATGAGTACACAGCGGATCAAGTGTGGTGTTCTGTATTAAACCGTATAATTCGTGACTCGCATTCGGAGAAAAAATCAAAAAAAAATATCTCAATGTTGAGAAAAAATAGTCTGAGTGTTTACGCTTTTCAAACCAATTTAGTCCAAAATTGAAGGCTCTATATAGAACTGCATGATAATAATCTGTATCTGTGGAGGAAAATAGTCTGAATAGTTTACAGATCAAGTTAGTGCCTTAGTTCAAGTTTTCATTACTTGACCTATTACATTTCCATCGACCTTCTTAATATTTGCATTTTAATTTTAAAAAACTATTTTAACGTTCTCAGATTATAGGAAAACTTCCATGGTAACAAAATAACAATTTCGAACACATTTCATAAGAAAAAGCTACGTGTTTAGCCCCAATTGCACGCTTAAGTGTTCTGGAAATGAACATTTAGCAAGTTAAAGAGGGTGGGGGGTTGTTTAGAGAGATGCTGACCCTGTATCTGGTCGTACTGTTCCTTCTGTCTCTTGGCCTCCTGACTCTGTCTGTCCAGCTGACTCTGCAGTTGTCCCATCTCCCTCTTCTTCTGCTCCGCCTCCTCCTCAAATTTCTGTCTCTCCTTCTCTGCCCTCTCCAACTCCTCCTTCGCTTTCTAACACACAAACCACTTGGGTACTATTCAGGGAAAAGTTTAGAATGGAGTTAACCCCTCCCTCTGATTATCAGTGTCAGCCGACTAACTTTACTAATTTTCTATAGGCACCTCTCAAGTTTGAAGGGAGAGAGCGCTTAGAAAAACAAAACATTTTGTTTCATCAAAGTTTTCGAATACTTTTTTTGAAATATAAAAATTGGAAAATTTTTTGCATTTATTGCAAAAGTTTGCTTCCGGCGCATTTTTTATTGACAAAATAAAGTCTTTATAGTCTTTTAGGACAGCTCGTTTTATCAATTTGGTTGACCCTAAAAAGGTCTACAAAGTTTTTGTTTCCTTTAACTGTTACTTATGCTTTATATAGGTAGTTTTCGCTTATGAAAGCTTGGAACTAGGGAAATGAACGCGGCAAACAAAAACTAAAATTTTTTAGCTTGAAACCCAAAAAGATGAAAAAATTTAAAATGGCTCGGATGAAAATTCCACAAAAATACCACAAAAATTCTAGACAATGGACAGAAAATTCTAGAAAACTCTAGACATGGACAATGTAAATTCTAGACGCAAAAAAAATGACTTTGAGTCGCAAGAAAAGAGCTTCGCTGAACCCAAAAAAAACTCTTCGTCTAAAATGTGGGAAATAAAAGAAACGGACTATGCTTAGACAGACTGGATAGGGCCCTCCATAAACCCTCTACGAGAAACCACATTTATTTCACCCATCACAAAACTGACCCTGGCTTCCTCCTCTTTGAAGAGACTGTCGTCCACCCCCGCCTGCAGTTGGTTACTCCCACTGTCTGCCCCTACCACCACCATCTCATCCTCAATCGGGGGCACCAGGGGGGAAGTGGCAGCCCCAGCATTAGACCCTCCCCTTTTTCTCTTCTCTTTCGGGTCCAGGATGGCACGCAACACGTGTGCTAAACAGAATATTAGCTACTAATTTTCTTTTTTATTAAAACTTTTTCAAAAAACTTGCCCCTTGCCTTCAAGAAAAATTTAAATGAACGAGGTTTTTTCCAATCAATAAAACTGAATGTTGTGCACCTGCAACAACTACCTTTGAGCAATATTCTTTTTGGCTTTTTCCCTATTCCTTATGATACTTAGTTAGTAAAACATATCAACCCTTCATAGAGAAATAATTACACGGTTAACCAACAATGTGCGCTTAATTTGCACCCAGCAGTGAATCTTCTTCTTCTTTGGGATGTGGGGTAATTAATAAAGGAGATCCTTTATTTCTCTTCGTTTGATTCTGTGAGTAGGTAAAAAAAAAAATTAAAGTTCAAAAAAATCATCTCACCCCGCATGGCGATGTCCTTGTACTTATCACCCGCCCCTCCCCCTCCTGCAGCATTTGCATCCCCACTCCCCTTCCTGTCCTGTGTTCCCACTCCCAGTTTGGACGCAGTGATTGTAGTGGAGCCTCTGGGGGAGCTGCTTGCTACACTTGCCTTGACATCTAAAGAAATGAATTTAAAAAAGTTCGAAAAACAAAAAATAGAGGCTCTTAGGATATATTTGCAAACAGTAGCAACTAAATTTGAGTAAGAATTTCAACCTCAGTCAAAACAGGAACTTAATGAATTTTTTAAATTAAAAACATGGAAACATAAATCATTACTGCTCCAACCGAGTCGGTGAAAGGAAAGAACTTTTGTGATATCATTTTGCATTACCTCAATTTGATGTCTTCGCAAGCAAAAATAATAAAAACCTGCCAATCTGAACAAAAAAGCTTCAGTTTTCAAAATAGAAACGTTCAAAAATTTCGAAACACCCTAGCCCATAGTTGTGAAGTTGAAATTAGAAGAAAAAAACGTACAGAACTTTTCGGCGATAAAAAATCCTTAAGCCAAACCAAAACGACTGCAGCTATATGACAAACGAATTGGCTATTAAGTACTTAAGTTTTTTTGAAGACAACAATTAAATGAAAATTTAAAAAAATGAACAGCTCATTATTGCTCATCGGTTTTCTAACGATCGCCATAATAAACAAACAGGATAACAGGATCATTCATATGTAGACAAAGCCTCGTGCACATTCCGTGTTATCCATCCAGATACGCATTCCTTGTCCTGGTCATTGAAAATGGGGAGGAACTTTGTATTCGGGTGTGTTTTAGTTTTTTTTTGTTTCCAAGAACCACAAATCATCATCGGACTGGGTTGAGTGATAAAACATTTTAAAGCGCTTACAGAAGTGATTTGAACCATTTTATAAATTTTCAAAAACATTTTCCCGGTGTCGAGAAAAACCGGTTCGAAACTTTTGATTTTTCGTCTGATTTCGAGCGAATAAAGCGAGCGACCAGTCTTATTTTAACTCCTTAAAATCTTACATAGCTTAAATTAAAACGTAAAAACGTGATTTTACATGAGTAGCGTTAGTTTACTTTGAGTATGTTAGCGCCTTTTTGGAATCAAAATATTCAAAAATTCAAAAAACTGCAATACTTGAAAAAAAAAGATTTTTTGATTTTTTTTTCATTTTTCAAGTAATTTTTCTAAATAAAAACTGTTTTTCATTTTGCTTATTTCACTATGGCTGTCGAATTTAGCTAATCTCGAGTTTTTTTTCAGCTCCTTTTATCACAACGCGCCGAAAAACAAACGACAATAATTTGAAAATTTTTATATTAATTTTAAGACTATGGTCGGAACATTCTGTGCTAATTGCACAGTAACCGGTTATCCTTGTTTCAATATTTATATTCTAGTACGTTACGTAGGTTAAACCTTATGTTTGGCCTTGAAAGCCAAAACCTCGGGGAGTTTCATGGTTCAAAGACTTATTTAAGCTAAGCATGTCTGTCGACAATTTGTAATCCTGATAACCGGTTGCAATAGAACTATTCACTCCGTATTTTTAATTATTACGGAATCCGGCGGACGTTATAAATAACAGACCTCAGTGAAGTAAAAAGGTTGCGACAGTCCGACTGCTCTTGGTTAAGTTTTCACAAAAAAAAACACAAGTTTGCAAAAATTAAAAAGTTTAACTCTTAACCCTATGAGCACGTCAGTTTGCCCTATGATTTACTGTTCCGACAATTGAAAATTGGGAAAAACTTTGTATTTGGGTGTGTGTTTGGGTGTTTTTTTTTCGCGCAAAATCAGGTACCACAAATGATTATCGGACTGAATTGAGTGATATATCATATTAAAGCCCTTTCAGTCGTAATTCGAAGAAGATTAAGAATTCATAACATTTTTTTAGTGTCAAGAGAAACCGATTTCATTTTTTCAATTTTTAATCTTTCGTCTTGTTTTCAGCCGTTTCAATAGTTTTTTTATAATTAATTTTAAGTTTGATCAAAAAACTTTAGTTTCTGGAGAATTTTAATGCCATTTTGGTAATCAAAAATCTCAAAATTCAAAAAAAATTTCTGCAAAAAAAATTTAAGAACAAAATTGTTATTTTTTTGATTTTTCAAAAACCGTTTTTTATCTTTTTTGTTTTCTAGTCATTTCCATCAAAAAGTGTTGTCCTCCTGTTTGCCTATTTTACAATGATTGTCGAAATTACCTAACTAATAGTTTTACGTAAGATCCTTTTATCAGACCACGCATTAAAAACTACACAAAATTTTCCAAAAAAATATTTTTTTACCTGTAGTTTTTGACGACTATTGTCGGAACATTCTGTGCTATTTGCACATCAATTGGCTATTGTGTTGTTGTTTCGACCATTGAAAATGGGGAAGAACTTTGTATTCGGGTGTATTTAAGTTTTTTTTGCTTTTTTGTTTTCCACTCAGAATCGGGTACCACAAAGAATCATCGGACTGGGTTGAGTGATATATCATATTAAAGCCTTTTCAGTCGTGATTCGAATCACGTTGAAAAATTTCCAAAAATTTTCCCAGTGTCGCGAAAACTGGTATGAAGTTTTTGATTTTTTGTCTTAATTGAACAATAAAGCAAGCGAGCAGGCTTACAACAACTGAATTATGCCTAATTTAAGACCTTAAACCTTATTCAAATCAAGTAAATAAATTTTTGGTGCTTTTTAGTTTCATTTTGGAAACCAAAAATTTCAAAAAATTCACAATTTTTTTAAATTTTTTTGTAAGTTTTTCTAGTCATTTTTCTAGAAAACTTTTTGTCCAAGTTGCATATATTATTCTGACTGTCTAATGTGCCTAAATTATTTTTACATCAGATCCCTTTATCTCACCGAGCTGAAAAAAATTACCCTAATTTGAAAAAAAAACATTCTAAGACCATGGTCGGAACATTCTGTGCTAGTTGCACAGTAACTGGCTATCCTTGTTTTCAAATTGTCTTTTGACGTAATTAAGCAACTTGAGCAGAAAAATGGCTACCCAAATGTTAAGAGAACGCGTGAAATTACGATTGTTACAGTGAGATTGTTGGAGCAAATGGGGGTTGAGAAATTAGACGATAAGCAAATTAGACGGAGGTACTTAAAAGGAAATTAGACGGTTTTGCAAAACTGCAATTGTGAGAAAATAGACGAAAGTGAGAGAAAATAACTTTGTTTGCACACAAATTGCGTTAGAAAAACAAAATTGCTTGTAGACAACAGTTCAATTTCGGTGGCCAGAAACTCTACAAGTCAATCATGCATAAATTTTTCAATTAAAAACTTTCCTGTAATATGCAGATTTGACATTTTATGTTCATTTAAACTAATTGTTTTGATAGGTATTGACATTTTATGTTTTTTGTATTTGTGAAACTTGAGTCTTAAGAAAAAAATTTTGTTAGCCCTTTCCTTTCCATAGCTTTTTCGTCTAAAATGCCAGATCTGTAAAAATTAAATTCCGTCTAATTTCGTTTTTTGTACTATCCGTCTAATTTGCTTATCGTCTAATTTCCTAGGCCCCGGAGCAAATTGTCCTACTCTGATTACCAGAGGGTTCAATTTATATTCAGATTTTGCTATTTGAGCTGATATCTAGTTCATAGATCTACAGCAAGAGATACGCTGCTGTGGGTACAAAAATGATATTTGAGATCGAAACTTTTTAGAATATGTTTCGGTTCCCGGCGATTACAAGTGACTTGCTCTTGTACGTGAAATAACAGATGAGTACCTTCAGTTTTTCCGTTGGCTACTGCTGTAGTCGTTGAATGAGTTGAGTCCCCCTTGCTCATCAGCTGCTGCAGATTAGACAGACCCCCTCCCCCTGTTCCAGTGCTAGCCTTCTTCGAAGCCAGTAGCTTCTCCAGATTATTCTTTGGCTTGGGCTCACCCATTGCAACTTATCAGAAGAAAAATATCCAAATATCGTAATATTTAACAATTTTGTATAAAGCTAGAATCGCCTGAGAAAATGACTCGAAAAGTTTTGGTTTTGGCAATGAAACTTAATTTTTGACCAGTAATTTCGGTTTCTGCAAACTAAATTCCAAATTAACCGACGAAAATCAAGAATCAAATGGGAAAAAAACCCAAGATTCGATTTGATGTTCTTGTTTGCAATTTACTAAATTATTTTTTAACGCTTGGATCAGCATGCAAAATTTACAGAATGCAATTTTTTCAAGTGTTTGTTGACGCTGGTGAAAATGATATGTAGTTTGAAAAGTGAAGTTTAATTAATATATACTATTGAAGCCAGCTGGTAGCATTTGTGATACGTTGTTGTTAAACATACTGTCGAGAGTTTAGAGAAAATTCTCAACCAAGGGCGGTATGTGTAGAAAACAACGTCGCGATTTAAATCACAGATCAATAACTTTAAAAAAATTTACGAAAGAACGTGTAAAATGGTTTAAAACACAGTATTAAAACACCATTTTAATACAATGTTTCTAGCACAGTAATGAGTTTTTAAAAATGAGTCTTTTTAAAGCTGTGATGGGACTACTTTTCTCTCTACATATGGTCTATTATAACCAAATAAGAAAGCAGTCGAGAAAATGTTTGATCAAATTGTGCTTCACATGTAATACAGACATGATACTTTTAGTTTTACATTTAGTCTATGAATATGACACGCACTCAGTTTTTAAAAATGAGCGCTGACTTTTTAGTTTTTTTAATGAGCAGTTTTGCTTAAAAATGGTATGCATACTTTCATGTTTAAGAGGCGGAGTCTTCGCTTGAAGTCACTGTCTGTAATTTGAGAAGGTCAAAAATATAAAAAAAAAAGAACAACTTCTTACAATATTCTTTTCTTAGTAGTGTTTTTTCGGCCCAGATAAGCCTATTGTACCCAAACTTTCTGGGCCAAAGTATTTCATTTGCAACAAATCAGCTGCTTCATTTTATGTTGATAAATTTTTTTCCCTCTTACGTGAAATATTTACTTCAAGTGGTTATTATTTTTCGAATAATTATTTCAGATTCTTGCTTAAATGATGTCTTTTTACGAGTTGTTTAGTAAGATCTGCCCTTTTTCTGTCAATGATTGACATAAACAAAATACATTATATCTATAGACCTGAAGTTTTTAGAATCTCGCAGCTTTTTCAAGAAATCTGAATGTCCGATTTGTTAAATGCAGTTGGGAGCAGCTCGTATATCAAAGCAAAATCCTAAATGCCGTGGCTGCTTTTTAGTCTGTCTCAACGTCCCCAAACAGCTAAAAATTGGTGAACTGTCAAAGAAATTAGCCTGCCTCAACTCAATTTACAACAAGTTTTAGTGCGGGATAAGTCACCAGGCAGATAAAAAATTTGAGTTACGTTTTGTGCATCAAGAAAAAATCTTTTAATGCGTGCGGAATAAGTCAATTGCATCGCCAAATTGATAGTTTTTAAAGCTCCAGAACTTTAGGAAAATCATTACGAGGCCAAACTGTGCACTGGATAGGAGCACACTTTAGTTTGTGTATGTCTCTGGAATCCACAAACAAGTCTTTTAACATGTTAAGTTTTTCTCGGAACGATCGAAAAACGAAAGAACAAAGGAAGATCACAGAGAGCGTCCTTGATGCGGAATCCCCTTACAAATCACAAAATACTTAGTTTACACACAAAATGATGACTGCAGGCGAAATATATTTGCCCATTTGCACTTAAGGAATTGATATATTCATCGTGGTCTAAAAATCTTCGTCAAAAACTATCATTTTGCTCGCCGAAACTGGTCTAAATACGAAAACACCCACTGTGAATGATCCTTTTTTGAAAGTTGGAACAAAACGGCATGTTTTGTCAGAAGTATATAAGGATGACATGCAACGAGCAATCTTGAAAACCTTGCGAAGTGCAATTAATAACCCAATGCAAAAGTAAAGCAATCAAAAAATCAGTCAATAGAAATGTTTTCTACGAATTTTGAAGGAAAAAAAAACGAAACTAATTATTTATTTTCGGAGTTTTTTCCCAACACAAGTTTCTGCTTTTTGACTAGCAATTTTGGACGGAAGTTGGAATTAAGTCTGAAATATTTTGATGGCCTGAGTTAAAAATAGGAATGTATATTTTAGTTGTAATAATTTGCAAATTTGAGCCTTAAAAAATTACTTTTTTGGCCAACTCGGGATAATTAAAGCGTCATATATTGCATTTTAATAAAACGCAAACGGCCGATAATTTTCTACTTAAAAATCAATCCAAACTAATGTCAGGCACGCTAATTGATTCAAACAAGTCTGATCGCATGTTAGGGCAAAACCTTGAATGTTTTGACTGCCCTTCTAGCGGTATTGAAATTTTGTTTGTAAAAATTATTGAAAACCATACGCTATGGTCACAATTAAATATCATATATGAAAAAATGAGTGAGATCAAAATTACCATGACCAATTAGCTTGCTTGAATTCAATGTGGAACAATTATGCAGCGAGGGGAAACTCGCCGCACATGATATCTCGTTACGCTTTTTTGATTATCAAATAAAGTCTTCACTAAGCGCATAGCTTAGACCAGAGCATGGCTAAGTTGACAATTTTTAACACCATATTTTCAACGATCAACAAAATCGACGGAAAATAGTAGATCTCAGGGAGTCAAAGCGTTAAATGGAGTAATAATATTTTTTAGTTATATTTTAAGAATTAGTTAGAATCACCCCTTGCATAAGTATACCGTAACTATTCGAAAGACTACATTCATCCCCGAAACTTGAAGCTAAAATTCAGTTACAAAAAGTATTTCATGCATTACTTCCATGCTTTTTTTCATGCTTTACTTTTATGACTGTACAAAAACTGAACGAAAGGGGGTCTCATGAAACAGCGCTGATTATTAATATCCGAAAATATCTTGAATTTGAAACGGTTTTTTCTCAAGTAAACAAAAAAACTGACTTGATTTAAAAAAAACTTTAAATTTTGAATTTCAAATTTAAAACTAAATGGCGTCAAAATTACTAGAAATTCTAAGTTTACACAGACGCGCAGCTTTGCTTCGCAAGCACCAGCGGGAAAACGGCAAAAAGGAGCTCTTTAAAGTGCAATAAGCAAAAGTAGAAATAAATCTCGAACAAGAAAAATTGGGTTTTCTCGATTCGATCCTTCGACCTAGAGATTATAGTTCTCACGCACTAACCACTCAGCCACAGACGCTTAACTTTTCACTAACACTAGCCAGAAATAAAGTAGAGAACAGATGTTATGAAACTTTCAATGCTACAGATCTGATTATAGCAAAAGTGCTACCAAATCAGTGAACTTTTAATGAACGCTTTTTTGCGGGTTAGGTTAGAAAAAAAGAGGGTTCGTACAACTAGACTACGCTTCCCAAGCTGGCTAGTGTAATAAGAAACTTTTAACAAAAAAATACCTCAGTATGAAAAAACTGGATCTATAAGTAACTATAAGTACATTTTTTCGCTGGGAAATCTTAATATTAAAATCTATTTTCGAAACTAAAATCAACTATGGAGGAGTTTGTCTTCCTTTTAAAATAGGAAATGAACTGAACTTAAAAACAAACCAAAACTCAAAACGCGTTAAGGCAAATTTTTCTTGAAAAACAAAAATCACCGCGACCTATAAATGTCTGAAGTACGTTCATCAGCTCTTGAAAATATTTCCTTTTTCTGTCCTGCGGTTTCTTTTGAATGCGGTTCAGTTAAATGGGTTTTAGCAATTCTGTTATTTTTTTAAAAAAATATATTTCTTGAGATAAAATAAACTTGAATGATATGCTCATACTTAAACGCTATAGATAAAAAATACATTCACTTAAGTTTCCCATCGACTTATTCAGTCCCGTTCAACAATTTTTGGATAGATACTCTGTTATATTTTGGCTCTCTGCAATTCAAAATGACACAATGCAGCGATACGAACAAACTAGACTGATATAGCCATATATAATCATAATGTCTTTGATAAATTCAGAAAGTGCTGCCATCTATCTAGATATACACGTTTCAATTGATTCAGTTTGAGTTCGATCAACAAAAAACAAAATCCTTCTTTTTCAGTTTCAAATCTGTCATCTTTCTACAATTGGTTCGAACTCGTCTTCTGTTGGCAGTCTCTGGAACAGACTGTCAATCTGCTCATCTGTCACTTCACTCAGACTGGCTGGTCTCCATTTGGGTTCTCTGTCCTTGTCCACTAGTAGAGCAGACACGCCTTCTATAAAGTCATGAGACCTAAACAATCACAAAGCAAGTTAAAGTATAGACTCTAACCATCTTAACTAAGTTAAGAAAGCTTCTATTTAGACTAACTAAGTTATAAGATGGCTTCTAGTTAGCATAAGAAAACTACAATATAGCTTTTCGTTGGCCTAATGCATACACTCGGATTGCAAGCAGCAGGTAAACTTTTTGCGACTTCTTTTAGATGCATAGTTTTCGAGATACTCCGAGTTAGTACTCACATACAGCTCCCTCTCTCTTAAATGAACCGAAAACTATTACAAAACAAAGCTCTTAGTCAGGTAACAAGACTCCAACAGAAAAACATAGCCATAAGACAGTTGGAAAAAGGTCAAATTTTCAATCAATTTTTTCAAAAAAACATCACGTTAAAGCTGTTTGAAATTCAAGTATTGTTTCTAATTAGTACTTTTCTCTTGAAGCTATCCCATTTAAAGAAAACTGGATCAATGAATATTTTTTTGATTCCGCTATTTTTTTAAACTTATATCCACTTTCGAAACTAAAAGTCGATTACGTTTTTTGAGACATCTACACTTTTGCCGTCGATAGTAAGCTTGCAAGCTTTCAACAAAAAAATTAAGAACTTAAAGAGAAAACATGAATCAAAACGCGAAAAATCAAATTTGAGGGTAATAAATTTCAACATTTCCTGAAAAAAAATTTAAAAAATCATCACGACCGATGTAAATAAAACACCACTTGGTTCGTTTACGCTTTAAAATGCAAAAAAAACCTCAACAACTTAGTTGAGATGATTATCCTGTATGGCTTAATGATAATTAATGAAATGATATCTTCGCTACTTTCTTGAGTTGAAGAAGAATACCCGTGAGCATTTATATTTCAAAATAAAATCAAAAGTGCTGATGAGCTTAAACGTAGATGTGTGTTTGTGCTGTGAAGTAACTTTTGCTCGTATTGATTGTCCACCTACCGAGATTTGCTGAAGTTAACATGTAGGATTGTAGTTTTGAAGATATATCAAAAATATGCATGTAAGAAATGCATGACAAAAAGTCAGCAAGTGATAGCGATTTACGCAATTTGAGAAGAGCTTTGCAAAAACGATAAAACTGCCAACAGACCGTTGGAAAAATTTCCAATAAACGCAGGAAACAGAAAAAAATACTGACTTAGATTTGAAAAATAAACTTCAATTTTCGAATTTCAAAATCAAAAATATATGGCCTTGAAGCACTTGCGTTTCTAGAACAAATTGTGATGGGCAATTTTTTTTTAAATTAAATTAACCCAATTTAAGAAAACTGGATCAAACGACAATCTTTTAATACTGCTGGGAAATCTGAAAACTAAAATCCACGTTCAAAACTGGAAGTCGACCACGATTCTTGGGGCCTTTAAATTTTGCGGTTCGATAGTGGAGTTTGCATGCGCCTACAAAAATCAACCTTCTTGAACAGTAAACGAACAATTTTTGGCTCCTTTAAGAACGAGAAAATAAGTCAATTCAGAGAAAATTAACAACTTGGAAACGTTTCCTTAAAAACAGACAAAAACACCATCCGACCCGAACAATTGCAGCTTTGTTAAAAATCCATGTGCCAAACGCCGTTTAATTCATTCAAAAAACCCACCAAACCAACATCAAGCCACAGAGTTGCCACTTTTCATATCTAATAGCCAAACTTATTTAGCTGAAAGCAAATATTACGCAAGAATAGTCTAGTCAATTTTGTAATCTAAAATAGAAATGCTATCTGCTGAGTCTCTTCTATAAACTTAGAAAAAGCCGCTGATAAAACTTACCATAATCTAAAAACAATCGCCTCAATAGGCGAAATCGACAAAACACAAAACTTCATACTTCGTAAAAGCCTATTTTGTGATGATTCCGCATATCAAAGACCCTCAGTTTTCATGAAAAAGTTGCTGCACTTTTCAAAACAGAGGCGAAGCGGTGCTTCGCAACACTTGGGACGTAACATGAACATAACACTGCGAGCTAGCGGATAAAAAATGAGACCGAAACCCTTATGACAAAAAACGACAAGAAAACTACATCTATTCAAAAATTTAAAGATTTTTTCAAAATGATGTTTAATTTGAGTAAAACATGTCAAACACACAATAACTAGCTTTAATCAAGCATTGAGAATCAATATAAACTGAGCAGCAACTAAATTGACAATACTTGGTTGGCGCCCGTGAAACCGTAAATAAAATTAAGTTTATTAAGTTTTGAAACTCGAAGATTTTATGCCCCAACCCTTCTGAAATACGCAGAAGCACTAAAATCTAATTTAGCCTTTCAAACGACGCATGTTAAGGTAACTAAGCCGAAACTAAAAAGCAAAACTAAAATAAGGAAATTATTCAAAATCAAGGGTGATCAACTAAAGAAAAACGAACAACTTCTCGTTGCAGTAAACACAACTTCGATCGGATCGAAATTCTATTCCACGAAATTCTATCTTTTGGAAAGCAAGCCAAAAAAATTAAGACAAAAGATAGTTCGACCATTCAAGCTTACAGGGAAAAAAATCAATTTCACAAATACCAATAAAAGACGGCCCGGCCGTGACTCGAACCCAAACCCTTAGGATCCCTAGGCAGACGCTTTACCATAACACGAAAGGGAAGGTGCCAGGATGTTTTCTGTTTCATCACAAACAAGTTCAATTTCTTACAATTACAAAATGGGCAAAAGTCTAGTTCCCGATAACAAGTAGAGTTTTCCGGATTACAAAGTAGTGCTCGATTGACTTGCAGAGGACACTCAAAGTATTTCTTTTATATATTTGTTTACAAATTTGACCTGACGAAATTTAGTTAGTTTTTATTTCAGCACAAAGCCTAAATTTATATTTAAACTAGAAGCTCAGAAACGTATGATACATTATGAAAAAAAGCAAATTATACCACGGCGTGGATGGAGATATAGTTTGCTTTAAAGAGTGGGACTAAACCGGTAGGGAGTCCATTATGACCAGAAAATCGGCAAATAAAAACATGACACAGAGGCGAAGCTGCGCTTCGCAAACACATGCGAGAACACGACCAAAAAGCAGCTCTATCAAGTGACATAAGAAAAAGCAAAAATAAGCCTCGAATTCGCAAAACCCTGCGACCTAGCTAATTTGAGTCTCACGCACCAACCATTAAGTCACGGATGCTTAACATGTCCAAAAACTAGACACCAATAACGCAGCTATATATGATAATAAATTGCCAATTTGATGCAGCAAAAGTAGCACCAAATACAAAAAGATACAATTTTGGATGCAAATCATAAAGCCACATTATTTATAAATTATGCTTTTCAAAAAGTAGAGAGATATAATAGTTGGAAATTTCTGAAATCGAGATTTTATAATGGTTATGTTGTTTGAAACAAATAACTTTCTTCGGTTCACTTGATGAATTAAAAATGCATCAACTGTGTAAACTTATAACTATTCGAATGTCAAAGTACATGTTATCAATAAGCTGTAAAGGTGCAACAAATTGTCAATCATTTTGTATTGCCAATTCGATGCATCAAATATTGCCGCTTCGCTTTAAGTCGCAACAGTATTTGCGACTTAGGTCGGAAAAAAGAAAGTTCGAACTATAACACTTTGCTTTGCAAGTGTAAACAATGCAATATCACCTACAAACACCGAAGAGGACAATCAATAAGGATCTTCAGACCTGCCGAGCTTCGAACCCTACACTAATTCCAGTGCATGAATTTTATTTCAAGTAGAAAACATTACGAAAAAAAAAGAGTTTCAACTAGCCTGCACAATCTGTATATGACTCTATAATCCATACTTAGACACTCCAACAGTGTCTTATAAGGAGTGTTTATATGTCTCAGTGTGGCTTTCAGTGCAGTGGGCGACATCTTTTCTAGAGTTGATTTGGTCTCCCGGGCGAATTGAGTTGAAGACTGGGATAAGGACTCCATGCATTGTTCAACAGTAGAATGACTGAAGCTGTTCTCTATTTCACTCTAAACACTCATTCACTTCGTCATTATACTACAACGGAACAACTTTTTAAAATCAACAAAGCATAAAAAATGTTATCTACACAAATTACAAAGCAATATATGCGCAGACTTTTTTGACAGAAGTGGAAAATACAAAATTAGGATTGTCAGAAATAGCCCGCCGTTCTGATGTTACTTCGACTTCAAAATACAGGCGGTATGTTGAATATCCACCTGGTTTTCTTTCTCAAGTGCTGACTTACCAAATGGGGCTCCAAACTGAATGGGGTCTGTCTATCACGTGACTTCTCATGGAACTCCTTCAGTATCCCCTTCACCGCCTCTTTCGTTTCTGCACTCTCCAGGGCTGTCTCGAGAGCTTCGTGGTATTCTGAACTGACGAAGAAGTCACTCAGACCCGCATGGTAGATAGACGCACCTAAACTAAACACAGCAATCGACCATAATCACCAAAGAACTATCATACTAGACTTTTTGAAAAATGGTAAATTTATTTTTAAGCAAACTAAAGATCAGCATAGGAAATGTCAATTTGAATAAGCAAAAAAGCTAAAATATGTTCTATCACCCCACAAAGAAAAAAGGTTCAGAAATTCGAAATAAACAGAATGTTTCTAAGGTACTTGCACATCGACCGGCTTTTGTTAATATCGCACATAAAAAAGATAGCGACAATAGTCAACACAGAGGCGAAGCTGCACTTCGCATACACAAGCAAAAATATGACCGATAACCCTACTGGGAAAAATTGAATGAGTAAAACTTTGAGTCTTCAAAAGTTCTGAAGTGACTCACGCCAATTATGACGCATTAGCATTCAATTTGAAAAAAAACAAATTTACCAACTAACACGAATCAATTTATAGAGCAGCCTATGGAGCAAAAATAACATAAAAAATTAAACATAATGAAAATAAGACTGCTCGTATATCCGGGCAAAGCCCTAAATTTTGGACAAAACCTGTAAATTTTAGACAAAATCAAAGAGTAAAATTTTGAGTCGTACGAAATAAATACGACCGTTCCGATTAGCTAGTCTCAATTGGATTTGCAACGATTTTGTTGTGCGGGAAAATTCGTAATGCATAAACAATTCGCGTTAAGCTATCAGCAATATGAACAAATTCTTCAAAGCGAGCATAATTTAGTCCAAAACATGGCCAATTTGGCAATTTTCAAACCACCAGAACTTTACATACAAAAAACATTCGGAGGTGAAATATCTTCATACATTTGAACTCAGGAAGCCAATATCTTTAATGGTATATAAAAAATTTTTGTCGAAAACGATTATTTCGATCATCGAAAATTGATTAAATAAAAAAACCGTACCGAGCATACATATTTCGTTTTCAGTCGGAACAATAAAATGAATTTTTTTTTAATTTGAGACTTTTTGTAAAAATCATCCCCCACACGCCATATTAAGTACAAAGTGATACATTTCGCTCCTGGTAGCAAATCAATTATAGCAACAAGAAAACGTCCTTCAATCAATTTATAACGACTTCTATGACGGATTAAATCTCCGCTTACGCGTTAATAGCGCAAATATATCGCGCGTTAATTGTCCCAAATTGGTAATTTTTAGACTCCCATAACTTGACGAAAAATGATCACAGGTGAAATATCTTTCCAAATTTAAGCTCAAGCCAGCAATAACTTTTGAATGGTATTTAAAAAATCCCGTCAAAAACGGCTAGTTAAAAAGTCGAAATTTGTCTCAAGAAAAAACCACGGGGTGGTTTTTTCTTGAGACAAATTTCGACTTTTTAACTAGCCGTTTTTGACGGGATTTTTTAAATACCATTCAAAAGTTATTGCTGGCTTGAGCTTAAATTTGGAAAGATATTTCACCTGTGATCATTTTTCACAAATATTCCGATAATTTCGTTACGAAAGTCAGAACAACAATAGTCGGTGTTAAAACCCCTAGCATTAGCTGTACTTAATAGCTGGTTATTGATCAAATGCTTGTCAAAATAGCAGATGTAAAAAATTCTTGACAATAGTCAAACATTAGCCACCAAAATAGCATACATAAAAAACAGCAGGTAAGCAGACAAAAATCAAATAAGATCGTGAACTTTTTTTAAAAACTTTTTCCTTAAGCAAAAAAAAGTTCATCAGGACCTATATAGGAGTCTTCACTACAATCTTCGATTCTTCAAAAAAAATAATATTTTTTTTGAATGTGGTCGGAATTTTCTGCTCATCTGCGCTACTATATCGTTACTACAGTTATAATTGTGCAACCCTTGGTTCATCCCTAATAAAAGCCTTGTGCTCTGCTATCTAATTCAGTGTTAGATTGCATTAAAGGAAAATTGTTTTAAGATAAGACTCGTTCCTTCCGCCTCTCGAAGAGTAAATGCAAACTCAACTGATCTTACCTTTGAGTCTGGCCCCCGTGAGTCCCAGATATACTCCCAGTTTGTGGTCCAGTCTCCCAAACGGCAATGCCACTCCTGAATCCGGCACTATCCCTATCGCCGTCTCTGGCATCGCAAATATGGCACGCTCACTCACCACTGGAAATACAAAACACAACCACTTCATTCGATTTAAAAGCCATGCACAGAAACAGTTTATCAGTAAACAGGTTCACGCGCTGCCAACCACTTGTACTGAAGTGAGCGCATCGGAATAAGCTTTCACGATATTGACTTCCTAAATGGTACACAAACCAAAATACCAATCAAATGGCTTCAATATGTGACACATGTCAAGAAAACCAAAAAATTGTTGAACGGAGGAAAAATCCGCCTGAAATAAATCGAATAATACCCACGTCAAAGAAAACTCAGAGATTTATAAAAAAAATTGAGATAACAGAGGTTAAAAAGTTGAGCTATCAACCAGGGCAAAAGAGTTCTGGGACACATGAGCAGTTTCCCCGCTAGTCTCCTAAACAGAACTGACCGCAACCGAAAAGAACATTCAGGCCTTGCCCATTTACGCTCTGGCTACACCCTCCTTACTTTACTTTTGCCACAATCGACTAGATCCAGCCATCTCCTATGAATGTCCCAACTGCTTTAACACCTCTTCCAAACCAACCACTTCAATTTTCGTTTTCGTTCGTTCGTTAGCAAAGGCATGGCTGCCCATCAGTTAGCCACTGATTGCAGCGTCTCGGACCACCGCTCTCCATCTCAGCCTGTCCTGGGCGACTTCGTAGCATATATATTTCCACGACTTCTTCCTAACATCGTGCCTCATTCTCGGAGTCCTGAGGATCGGTTCAACGTCTTCAGCGACGTTCATTCTTCATGTTGTTCGTGGGCGTTTCCATGACTGAGCTTTTTCAAACATTGATGCTTCTCGAGTTACTCGTTCTTCCCCCAAGTACATGACCACACCATCTTTCGCAGGTGAGAGTCCAAGGATGTCCCACGGTTCGCTGCTGCTCGGATGGTGGTGGTGTCTTGATCAGGTCGTGCTCCGAGGTAGCGTCTTACGCATCTTGTTTCCTATGAATCATGTCTTACGAGGTCAGTTTTTTCGACAGTCTATGTTTCCGCAGCATATAGCAGAGCGCTCTTTACGCATGCGTTGTATACTTTATTCTTCGTGTTTCTCGTCGTTCCCTTGTTCTTCCAGAATTTTGCCATTCTAGAGCTGATGGCAGTGGCGCGTGCGATCCTGTTTAGTATTTCTGTTGCTATGTTGCCGTTGGACGATATCCGACTTCCGAGGTAGACGAACTCAGTGACGTTTTCGAGCGGGTTGCAGTCGAAGTACAGCGCCGCTAGGTCAGTTCGGGCAAACAAGCACTTGGTCTTGCTGGCATTGACAATGAGGCCGACTTCTTTTGCCGCGGCGACTACTCTGTTTAGTAGGGATTCAATAATGTGGTTTGTGAGACTTTGCATTTGTGGTTTCTTGGCTAGGTTTTACGGAGGATAACTTCAAATATCCTCAAAACGCCACCAATCTGACTACACTTTTACTTTGGTCCAGTCCAGTCGAGGCTTCTGCTTTTCTTCGGCTTCTGATCCAACCTCAAGCACATCAGTCGAGCTCGCTCCTGATGGGAAATGTTGACTAAGCACTGGCTCATAGCGAGGGCTATGAAACCAAAAACCAATCCCAGTCATGTGTTCCGTAAATACGGTATAGAGGATAATAGACACCACCACAGCTCCGCTATACTTTTCCTCGTTTGCCGTCTCAGTTAATAGAATTGGGAGCCCTTTCTACCCAGGGGCTTCCCGGCGGGGGCAGCAGTAAGGGACTTAAACGAGACAACAGGCCCACCTCTGTTAACTGGGAAACGTCAGTCACTGTTAATATGATGACAGTGTAAAAACGGAGTTCAAGTACCCCTCACTACTGACCTGCCCTACCTACAACACTAAATATTAACAAAGTGTTAAAGACGAGACGAAACCACAGGAATAACCCAAAAAAATAACCCAAATATGTCTAGAATGCGACAGGCTATAAGCATATCAAGATTATCAGATGAGCTCACCTGAGAATGAGGAGTGTTGGAATATTCCTCCCCCAGTGCCCATGCAGATACCATCCACCAGTGCCACTGTGGGGATACTGTACGTTTCCAACCGATGCACCAGAGAGTACTCGCCCTGAACATTAAACATAGAGACGCAAAGTTAACACAGACGAAGCTGCGCTTCGCAAAAAGTAGAAATAAGCCTCGAATTAGCACAAACTCGTCTACGTGTCGGATTCGAATCTTCGACCTAGCCAAAATGTGTCTCACGCACTAACCACTCAAACACGGATGCTTAAAACCCTTAAAAACTAGCCACCAATAACTCAGCTACATATGCTAAAAAACTGTCACTTTGATGCAGCAAAAGTAGCACCAAATACAAAGAGTCACAATTTTGCATGTAATAAATTGGAAAGCAGTAAACCAAAGTATGTAAAATTTAGGCCTTTCAAAAAAAATTGCGAGATACATTGAGTTGGAAAGATTCTGAATTCGAGGTTTTTATCATTTTACTACTGATTGAAACAAATAACTTTTTTCGGTTCATTTGATGAATTAAAAACGCATCAGCTGTGTTTACTTTTTACTAACCAAATGTCAAAGCACATATGATAGTATACTGCAATTGCAGCCCACCGATTGAAAGTGCCACCGAAAGTACACTTTATTTGCGACTTAGGTTGAAAAAAAATAAAGTTCGCACCAATACACTTTGCTTCGCAAGTGTAATTAAGCGATAGATTAGGAAAGTATATGCCTAAGATCAAATTAGCAAAGCTTAAGATCAAATTATAGCTTGAAAAAAAAATTGATTAGAAAACATATATAGTCCACAGAGCCAAGTGTGCAATTTGGAACACAGAGGCGAAGCGGAGCAACCCTTACGATGCAAAAAACACATATCGCTACAAAATAGTGAATGAAAAAAAAAAGACAGAAGTCAAAAAATTATTATGGAAAAAAATACTTTAAATAACTTGACAAAAAATATGAGATTACAGCTGCAAAAACATCAAATTTGTAATGGATGCAGCTACTAAACAGCCCTAAAAAACTGGAAAACTTCCGAGCAGATAAAAAGGCGAAAAACTTTGGGTCGAAATCTGTTGTCATAAATTCTTTTTTAAAATTTAGGTTTTTACGACCCATCCGAAACGGATATATTTTGCCCTCAAAATTACGCAAAATCAGGTGACTAAGTCGATATAACAATATCTGAAATTGTTTGAATATTTAGAAAAAAAAAACAAAAAAAAACAGACACGGTAAACTTAAAAATTTGTAAAGTTTCGCTTATAGTATAAACTGTTAAATTGAGAACTTTTTGAAAAGATAATTACAAACTGAAACGGTCTTAAACTAATTAATACTCAAATGATAGAAATTAAAGTGAAAGCCCTACTCAAGAAGCAAGGTTTTCTTTAGATCCTCTAGAAATGATTCTGTAGAACGGAAAAAAGTCTAAAACCCGGTTGTGATACCCTTGCTTGTCTTCATCAGCATCATATCCGTTTGTTTATCCGATTGATTATGGTTCTGTCCTTGTCCCATCAGATGGGGTTGGCAGCATCAGGCAAGATCGAACTGCAACTCTCAATAAAATACGGTCTTGTGGGTCAGTTTGGGCAGGGCAACGTTCCTTGATATCATTTTTCACACAATCTAACAAAGTCCTTCTTGGTCTCCCACGTCTTTTGAAAGAGATCTTCATCTCACTGGCTAATTTAATTCATAAAGCGGAACGAGCACGCTCAACATGACCAGGCCGTATGAGGCGTCTGCTCCAAAGGACGTTGATAATGTCACCCAAGTAGAGTTTATCAAGAAGTGCATTTGGGTAATGAACACCGGGCTTAACGCCGCAGATCTAACTGATAATTGCACGGTCCTTTTCTTGGAGTCATTGCAGATATGATACGTTGGGATCTTGATCGTACACAAGAAGAGTACACTTTTCCGCGTATTCTAAATGAGATGTGTACGGAGAAAAGTTAGTGTACGAAGTAGTTTCCTGAATCTAAACCAGGCTAGGTGACATTTGGCAGCAATTGTACTATCAAAGCCCCTACCCGCACTGCGCATGTCACCCAGGTAGCAGAAAATTGACTCAGCATCGAGCGTAGTGCCAACTACATCAATCATTTTCGAAGGCTGATCGTCGATAGGCCGCGACAATCCAGTGCATCTGGGGCAAACATTTTCTCGTTTGGCTACCAGTCGGCCTGATAGTCCGCAGCATTTCCTATGAACCTACAACTTGCACTGAGAGCAAGCAATGGAGTTTCTTCCAGCACCTTAACGGCAGACAGCACAAGGGCACTTTCCAGGGTCATTGAGGAGATCAACTTCGTCTTTTTCATGTTGACTCGCACACCTTTACTCTCCGAGCCAGTTTTCTAGATCCTGAGTCTAACGATGCATTCATCAATAATAACTGCCATTATAACTAAATCATCCACACAGAGGAGCTCACAAGACATGCCTTCATGTTGATTGAGTCGCTGTGAGAGAGCCTCTAGGACGAGGATGAAGAGAACTGGACTGAGAACAGAGCCCTGATGTACACCGACACTCACTTTGAATTTATCGGTGTACTCGCCGCTTACTCCAACCAGCACTGCCCATTCTTCGACAGCCAGCCTGATATTCCGCAGCATTTCATGTGAATTTAAAACTTGCAGTGAGAGCAAACAATGGTACCTGCCTGGGTACACGGTTACATGGTCAAAAGCTTTCTCGAGATCCACGAAAGCACAATAGAGAGGCCTGCTATAAGCAATGTGTTTTTCTTGTAGCTGCCGAGCGGTGAATGTGGCGTCAGTGGTACCTCCGCCAGGTACAAAGCCAAACTGCATCTGGTCTATTTGTAGCATCCTACGAATGATGAGATAGCACACTTTCTACCAGCTTCATGACTTGATCTGTGAGTTTCCGTCCACGCACAAAATCGCTGACGGGAGCTCTAAAATGCAAAAAAACTTAAGCAAATAAGCTTTGAAAAAAACCCAATCACTCGTTTAAAAGTATGGTCCCGGGTTTTTTGACGAGTTCCACTCAAGCTCGACAATTTAGACGACGCTAAGTGAGGCACTTTCATCAATTCTGCATGGCTACAATTATGAGAAAAAAGACCGAATCTGAGCAAGACATTAGCAAAACAAACAAATTTTATCCCCCACAAGAAAATCCTTGATCCGCCTCTACTTACAGGTCACTGTTGTTAATCATGCATTTCGAAATATCTTATACAATTCAGATTTTATGTTTTTTAATGATTAAACTTTACATAAAAAAATGGGTCGACTAAATTCAGCGTTAACAAGGATGGCCGGTTTCTGTGCAAGTCGCACAGAATGTTCCGAACAATATTATAAAATACAAAAAAAATCGTTTTTTTCCTTCAAATTAGTGTTGTTTTTGTGCAAGGTGTGATGAAAAGATCTGACGAAAACCTTAAAAATAGGCCTTTTCGACAATCACGGCCAAAAGCAAAATTGCGCATTGAGTTTTATGGACAAATGACTAGAAAAAGAAAACAAAAAAATTTATATAATTCAATTTTTCACTTTTTGTTGCAACTTTTTAAGACTTTATTCCAAAAATGGCGCTAAGTAAATTTCAACAGGTTTTTATTGGAGTAAAATTAAATTTTCATGGCGCACCCTTCTCTGATAAGCCTGCTCGTTTGCTTTACTCGCTTAAAATGAAAATAAACCTCAAAAACTTCAGCCCGCTTTTCTCGACACTGGGAAAACATTTCGAATTTTTAAGGTCGATCGAATTACGGCTGAAAGAGCTTGAATATGATATATCAATCGACTCATTTCAATTATTAACTGTGGTACCAGATTTTGCATTAATAACGAAAGACATAGGCAACAGACAGCTGCAAAACAGTCAATTAACTCAAAGAAACAGAATAACAAATTGACTTGTTTTTTAACAGACTTTACTTTCGAATTTCAAAAAAAAAATTGTACTTCACTTCAAAAAAATTTGATTCTGTCCGTTATATTTTCATTTGCAAAAATGCAGGGCCTTAAATACAGGGCCTCAAAGCTCTTTGAATTTCAAAAACAATTTATTATGGTCAAATTCTTGGCAAAAATAACCCAATTTGAAAAAAGTGAATCTTAGGAAAAAAAATTTCTGCTAGAAAAATGAAAAAACTGAACAAAACTTTCGAAATTGAAAACTCGATCACGTTTTTTCACATTGTTTACAGCATCCATTTGTTAATTTATACAAATTATTAGTTTGAGCATTAATAGAGCATTTGAGTATTTTAAGACTTTTCCTAAAAAAAAAAAATCATCTTGACCTATATAATAGTCTGAGCTACGTTCATCGACTCTTAAACAAATTAAAATATCCGAATACAAAGTTCCTTTCTATTTCAAGGGTCAAATGTTGATAATAATAACAATCAGAACAAAGAAATAAGGAAAAGTCCCAGGGAAAAGACTCGCTTTCAAGTTTTAGATCAAATCAAAAGTGAAGTTTTCTAATGTTTATAGAGTTAGTGCAAATAAATTCAATCCTCCATGAGCACAGATTTCCGTCATTGATTTTTTTTTAAATATCCAGTATAAGCTCGTGAGGGTAACTTTGACGTTTTTGCAGTCGAGGAGCTCAAATTTCAAATAGTCGTTAAGGAGATTACTCAGGGTGCAAGCGCGTTGAAAAAAAAACCAATTCAGATTTTTGAAGTCTGAATTTTCTGCTTTCAAATTTTTCCCAGCTCGAATGTCTTGTTTGTCCATTTTCTTTATTTAAATCAAGTTTTTCCGACTGCAGGTATGTTTGCCGTTGATAATTTTATGCAGTAGAAGTGGAATGTGTAGTTTATCATAAAGTGACAGCGGTAGGATCATAAGTTCAATGATTGGCTTCTTTGTAACCATGACATGTACCTAAAATCGATGTTGTTGCTTGCTTTCCTTTGCAAACTTTCGATGATTCTAGGATCGTTTTTTGATGGTTTCCATAGCGCTGAGCCATAGCTTACAATCGGGGCAACAAATGCTTTCTATGCTTGTTAATGAATTTGCTTTGCTATTAATTTCGATATCCTCCTTTTGATAGAGTATAACGCCTGAAGTGCTTTGGCTGACCTTGTTTTTGCAGTTTATGTGCAGTTCAGGTTTTGACTTAATACAAGTCTGAGGTCTTTCATTTCGTTTACTTCCTCGATTATTGTATTACTGAGTTCCACAATTGCACTACCTTTGATGCCAAGTATTTGTTTTAACAAAATTTACTTCCATATAGTTTTGAGAAGTTTCCGTCTATGAACAGAGCTTCTTCATATGATCTCTGATCTTTTTTAAATCTTGTAGAGGTTTTAATTTGTTTAATCGAGGTAAAATTCTTTTCACATTTTCGTCTCATTGATTCAATTATTTTGACTTTTCTGAGGTCCCCCAAGGTGCTTATAAGCTTTTATGTTTAGTTTTCTAATGAACATGTTTAGAGATTACATAATAAGTAACCAATTGTACTACATTTCGGTCAAGAGATCGATATTGCTACTGCAGTACGGGTTAAAAGAGTTTTCCAAGATACACTGGATTATGGCCTCCAAGTTTGCTTTCGAAAAAGAGATTGCGCTTAAGTTGATATCGCTGTTTGTTAGTATTTCTCGAAGAAAATCGGGTTTTAAATCAAGACTTGGTTTCACGTGGTAGGGTAGATGATCAGTGGTGTATACTGTCCTCAGTCATTTTTCAAATAGTCGTTAATAAGATAAGTCAGTGTGCAAGCGCGTTGAAAAAAAACCGACACAGACTTTGAAGTCTTGAATTTTGTGCTTTCATATTTCTTCCAGCTCGAATGCCTTGTTTGTCTTTCTTTAGTTGAAATAAATTTTTCGACTGCAGGTATGTTATGCCATTGATAAATTTATGCAGTAGAAGTTGAATGTCAGTTCATCCTAAAGTGACAGCGGTAGGATCATAAGTTCAATCGATGTCTTTGTCTCCATGATATGTACCTAAAATCAATGTTGCTGCTTCCCTTTGCACACTTTCGATGATTTTAAGATCGTTTTTTGATGATTTCCATAGCGCTGAGCCATAGCTTAAAATCAGGGCAACAAACGCTTTCTATGCTTGTTATTGTAAATGCTTTGTTATTAATTTCAAGATTTCCTTTTGGCAGAGCATAACGCCTTCAGACCTTTGCTGATCTTGTTTTAGCATTTTCTGTCCAGTTCAAAACAAAAGTTTCTATAAGTCCGAGGTCTTTCATTTCGTTTACTTACTCAACTATTTTATTATTGCTTTCCACAATTGCACTACCTTTGATGCCAAGTATTTTAGTTCTTGAAATTATTAATTCCATATTTTTGGTGCACCTATTCCAGATTATTTTTGCTTCTACATTTATCGTTACAGGGTTATTCGAAACAATTTTGTAATCATCAGCATAGCCAAAGCTTGTTCGATGCGAACGGTTTGTTTTCTTTTACACAGGAAGATTTTTAATAGCATGGGCTTACAAAACCAAAACTCCTTACTTTTTCAATAATCAGCCCATGGTTAACCTTGTTGAACGCTTTTTGGAAATCTAAGTAGAGACAAGCCAGATAGTTTGTTTTAATGTTATCATAGTAAATGTATACTTCATGCAGGTATTCAATTAAATGTGTGACTATGGATCTTTCTTGTCTAGAACCGTGCTGAGAATGTATTACCGGTTTTTTCCTTGTCGTTTTAAGATATAAACACTTGTGTTTCCGCTGATCAAAACAATGGTATCGCTGATCAAAATAATGGTATCGCGAGTGTATTCGAATGTAAAAAGAAACATCATCGAAGGAACGATACACCGGTTGAACAACACCACCTCTTCGTGGGAAGCGTTTCATGAAAGTCTGGAGAAAGCTAAGTCCACGTGGGAGAAGAATCAATACCCGCCCGAATTTTACCAACCTCTTATGGCTAAGACACTTAAGATAATCTGTGGTCAGCCCGAGAGCGCTGAAACTCTAAGAACGAACCACCAATGAAGAGCGCCCTGTTATGGTACTAGAGTACAGATGTCTCATCTCTGACAAGTTTTCCAAACGCGTTCGTCAGAGCACAAATGGTAGTGTTATCTTTATCACCCACAAGCTAAAGACTGGTTTGCCTTCTCTCAAGTCACCGTTCCCGTCAGAGCTGAAGAGTCATGTCGTGTACCAAATAGATTTTCCTGGCTGTAACGCCAGCTGTTGGCCAAATCTGCCGGCGTCTAACGACACGACTCGGAGAACACAGGGAACCTTCAGCGCGGGTTGGCAGCCATTTCATCGAATGTGGTCTTGCCCCTACAGACATTGACGCTTAGATAATTGATTCCGCTAACGACAAGTCGAAGCTGTTGACGTTAGAAGCTCTGCATATTGCGATGAAGAACCCCCAGCTGAATGCCACGGACGAGTACCGCCACCGCAACCTAACGTTGCGGCTGTAGCTCCGCGCCTTATTTCTTTGTTTCGGAGTCTCCGACGAGAAATATCTGTTCTCTCATTTCTTCCTCCTTATTTTTGTTTAACTTTCTTTGCTCTGTTTACAAGGTCAACTTACTTCAGAGTCAATGCTGATGATGTCATATTGACGAAAGCGCTTCAAATTTACCAATGTACATTGATTGTTTTCCTTCCAACCGGTGTATAAATAGCTTTGAAGAACGTGCGTAGAGGTTGGAGCTGCATTTTTAGTACTAGGCATATGTTCAAAGAGCTGAAAAATTCTCTTTCCATAGCCTATATATTGCAGTTTCTAACCAGTATTTTCATTATCCTTATTGAATTTTGTTCCTACTTTTTTTCGATTCAATTACAATAACAATTGACATCATCTAAAAAACCCTACTCTCAGGAAAGAATTATTTTTGCAACAAGCTTTGAAAGCTCTCGCCGAACCTGGGTTTGAAGACTAATCATTCCTAAGTTCCGTTCCTTGAAAGCCTGTAGAAGAAATTTCACGTCTCCCCCAGCAGAAAACGCTTTGTCCCCTGCTCCTTTGATCAGCACAGAGCTCAATTTATCAACATGCTTTCTCCAAAAGGTCATCTCTAACAAAACTTCGTCTATGAGGGGAGGAAAGAACGCATTCAATTGTAATGGCCTATTCAAGGTAATGACGGAAAGTCTGTTCCTGATTTCAGAAACTATGAAGGTCCTGACTTGTTTCGACATGCTGATAATCAAAATTTCTAAAAAAAAAAAATTTGAGCAATGTAAGTAGTCCGAACAGTCAGACACGACTAGAGGGAAACTACTGCCTATATATAGAGAGTTGCAAAAAGTTCGGACAGACAGAAATAATTAAAAAGAGCAATTTGCCAATTTTGAGCAATTTTTGCATGCAAAATAGAATTTTTAGGTGACCTTGAGACATACTTTCTGTCTGAAAAATAAGCGTTTGCATGCAAAAGTTGTCTGAAAAAGGTCATTTGCTCTTTTTAATTATTTTTGTCTGTCCGAACTTTTTGCTACTAATTAAATAGAGAGTTGCAAAAAGTTCGGACAGACAGAAATAATTAAAAAGAGCAACTGTCTAGACATCAACTGAAATTAAAACTGAAATAAACATAACATCGAAAGTTCATAAAGCAGATTTACGGGATCTACTTAACAATCCCCACTTTCAAGAAAGGGGAGGAGATTATTAATTAGATTACTGGCAGCGAACTTTCGTCCAATCAGAATGCAGCAAAATTCGAATTTACATACAATGCTCTTATGCGAAATTACTGTTTTTACTTACAGGGGTGGAGATTCTTTAGTAGATACAATATGGGGATTGTTAAGTACATCCGAGTTTCGCTCAAAACCTATAACCACGGCGGGCAATTGCATCCGAAGCGTCGAAATGTTTTATAGTATAATCTGGATCTTCATCGCAGTATTTAAAAATTAGGCTAGCATAATCATCGGATAATCGACAATTTTGCATTTTGAATTTGGTCTGACAAAAAATTCAAGGTTGTTCGGCTTCAGATTTTGCATGCAAAAAAGCTTCTAAAACACTGATTGCTCATTTTAATTAATTCTGTCTGTCCGAACTTTTTGCTACTAATTATACAATGTCTCAAATCCATGAAAAAGTCATCCTTGCTTTTAAACGTCTTCACGTGTGAAGCCAATCAATTTGTGATATAGGGACATCGAACTAGGGTAAACTTAGTAGCTGGTGCTGACTTACAATCAAGCTAATTTATTAGTACACGTGTTAAAGGTAACGTTACAGACACTGAATTAAAATTAAGTCTTCAATTGTTCACTGACTTTCTTAATTTTTTTATGATTTTAGTGGTAATCAGAAGGTCAAAAGTATCATAGTAACCGAGGTTACAGTCATGAGTCCCTTCATCTGTGCCAGTCGGTCATATTCGGAAGTTTGGCCTTGAGAGAAGAAAAAAACACTTGATTTTGGAGTGAAATTTAGTTTTTCAAAATTTCGAATGGAACCTGTCATGCTGCGGGAAAGTTGCTAAATAAAACGGTGGGAAATTGCTATTCGCAATTTCTATCACAATAGAACAAGAGTAGAGCTGTCCCATCTAAAACAGAGACGAGAGCATTCCCACGAACTGGATTGTTGTGACTGGAGTACTATTATTAACTGGACCAGAGTGAACCTTCGGTGGAAAGGTGGACAGCTAGAGTGTCCCAATGGTTCACGAGAACTTACAGTCTAGAGTGAAAACTTGTTCTTATTATTAAAACTGACTAACGTTAGACTCTTTTTAGTTACTTTATTAATTCTTGAGTTGCTTACCGACTTATTTACTTCCTGGTTCTTGAGCGTGCTACAATGTGAGTACTTAATTTAAATTCCTAGAGTGTGTTTTATAATTGTTATGTTGAGGTAAGGCGAGTTTTAGGTTGATCCATCTGAAATGGATCAAAGTTTCACTGTCTAATAAAAATAAACTTAACGGATTGTTCTAACCCGGTTTTTAACGGCGTTCATGTATTTTGGGTATCTAGAGACCTAAGTATGGGGACGTTTCTAATTCCAGAGTGGGGGGATATTTTAGTAGTAGCCTTTAAGCTGTAACGGGTCGTAGTCTCATGTCACAAGCGAACCGAACTGGCTCCGACCGTTCTTGAGGTAGAAAAACACAAGAGATGGTGTCCCTGACCCTTGAGCCAGTGGTTATAGGGCCTATTTTTCTTAAGCCTCATGTGTGACTGCAGTAGACGAATGTTACATAGTGTTTTTATGGCGCTCCTGGGTGTTTACGACATCAAGACTACGGAGTCGAACCCACTTGAGACAGCTTCGGGCTGAATGCCCATTCTAGAGTACCGGCGGTACGGTTCGACAGGAACGTGCAAACCTTCCGGTTGTACCGTGATAGCTTTTTAAGAAAACTCGAGAAAATTTCCTGGTACGCTCTCCGAACGAGGCTTAGCTAACCGAGTAAAGGGGGGCAACCAGGGGGACAAAAACACGAGCAAAAAGACAAAAAGCAAAACAAAAACCAAAAAAGAATAGAAAAAGGAACAAAAACCATAAAACGAAAAAAGACAGTGACTTTGACACCAGATTAGTTGGATCAAACCTTTATATTAATTAAATAGTATACCCATACTGTTTTACAAATTCGATCGTTTCGATCAACCTAGCAATTTAAACCAGTAAACTGAATAAAATGCCCGAAGTGGGGCGTTGTCAAGGGTTTTCAGATAGCTTGGAACTTAGCTGGACCAATAGGAGACTTGACTGGAAGAGGTGACCAGCCGAGTGGGAAAGTGGTTCAGGGACACTTGAGCTGAACCAATAGGAGACTTGACTGGAAGAGGTGACCAGCCGAGTGGGAAAGTGGTTCAGGGACACTTGAGCTGAACCAATAGGAGACTGGACTGGAACAGGTGACCAGTCGAGTGGGAAAGCAGCCAAGAAGGATTTGGCAATTCTCGAGTTCTCAAGTTGGGCAGAACGGGTATCGTTAAAATCCACATTACATTATAGGAGATAAGTGTAAAATAGGATAAGCGACATCCCCCGGTTTTGAGGAACGTTTTTACTTGAGCAGGCCTGGAGACAGGTCTACGGTTTTCTCTTGAGAGGTTTAGCACCCGGCGCTTAAGGTAATTTTAGGCTTAAGAAGGGGGGCTAAAAAGGGGGGAGGTTAGAAGGGGGGCTGGTTAAGTTAGAGGTTGGCGGTTGTAAATTGTAAAAAGGGGGAAATTAGAGTAACTAATTAGTCGACATCGTTGACTTAGTTACATTAGAAATTAACACGCGTTGGTAATATTAGGTGGATATCGAAATTTGAACTCGAGTTAAGGAAGGTACCCTGGTCGGATTGGTAGGGGGGAAGGGACATAGACAGTTTTTGTAATACCCCATAAGATCGCTAGCAGGGGGGAAGGAAACGCGTGGCAATTAGGTACAAGACATTTTTTTTTCGATAGAAGGTAGACATTTGTCACCTTTGAGTTTTAGGTGGGCTCATCTTTCTGTTTTTATTACTTTTTCTTGCTTAGATTTTTGTTGCATTTTGGTGAGGATTTGTGTTAAAATTTTGTACGAACAGGTGATACCTGCGCACAGGTTTTGGTCTCAAGTTACTTGGAACATTGAAATAGAGGTAGCCAAAAAGAGAAATAAGAAAAAGGGGGGTCAGCATTTGGCTTTTAAGAGAGGATTTTGGGAAAATTTTACTAGAGCTTGAGTGGTGGTACAAGGTACGGCGAATCAAGAAGTCCCCATAACGAAGAGGAAAGAAGTCCCACCACCCAGACACTTGTCAACAGTCTTGGGACAGTGCCGAAGAAGTCTTAGGACAGAGCAGTCTGGGGACAGCCTTGGGACAGTATAGTCTTGGGACAGTGGTCTTGGGACAGGGTCTTGGGACAGGGTCTTGGGACAAGGGTCTTGGGACAGGGTCTTGGGACAAGGTCTTGGGACAAGGTCTTGGGACAAAGGTCTTGGGACAGAGTCTTGGGACAGGGTCTTGGGACAAGGTCTTGGGACGGGGTCTTGGGACAAGGTCTTGGGACGGGGTCTTGGGACAAGGTCTTGGGACAAGGGTCTTGGGACAGGGTCTTGGGACAAGGTCTTGGGACAGGGTCTTGGGACAAGGTCTTGGGACAGGGTCTTGGGACAAGGTCTTGGGACAAGGTCTGGGGACAAGGGTCTTGGGACAGGGTCTTGGGACAGGGTCTTGGGACAGGGTCTTGGGACAGGAGTCTTGGGACAAGGGTCTTGGGACAGTAGTCTTGGGACACTAGTCTTGGGACACTAGTCTTGGGACACTAGTCTTGGGACAGTAGTCTTGGGACACTAGCCTTGGGACAGTAGTCTTGGACAAGAGTCTTGGGACACTGCCGGAAAGTACTGGGACGGTACCGAACAGTCTTGGGACAGGAGAAAGAAGCCTGGGACGGTACAAAGAAGAGTAGGGACGGCAATTGGAAGTCTTGGGACAGTGTAAAAAATTGAAGTAAAATTACAAGAAGTGTTTTAAGACAGAATTAAGATAGAACAAGACTAATTGGAACCAGGTACGGTTGAGACCACAAATAAGGAAAGTTTCTCGAAAAGTTAATAAAGAGAACTGAAACAAGGTTTTCACCACGTTGTATATTTTTTTTTAAAGAAAATTTTTTTTTCCCTCTCGAAAGATTTTATTCTTAGAATAGGATTGTGTAGATAGTAAAATTGTAAATAAGAGCAATTGTAAATAGAAATAATGAGGCGGAGCAGGGTACCGGTAGCTGAAAAAAGACCTAACGAAGCAAAGTATAATTCGTCGCTACGCAAAACAACATCAATGGGTCCGAAGATAACAAAGAAGAACTTTTCAGTTAACATGGTCAGCACAAGGAGTACAACGGAGAGAGCAAGAGAGGGCATGGAAGGGGAACATTAGCTCCGATGATGAAGAGGAACTGTTGAGACAGTTTGCCGTATCTAGTACTTCAGGGTGCAGTACCTCCAAGGCGAAGAGTGCGAGATGAGCAGGTGGCTCGAATGGATCTTGAGTCTTGAGAGGGAAAGGGGGGCTTGAGCGTGGATCCGGGTGAAACTTGGATTCACGAAAAAGAAGTTTTAACAAAGCAAATATTGTTATTTAATATACTATATTTATTATATAAATCAAAATGCTGCATGACAATTTCCTGATTGAATAGGACAAAAGAAATTTTAAATGATTGGCTTGGAAAGCCAGAATTCAAGGGTGCAGGTGTGTGCAGATTTTGATTGCTGTTTAGCGATAGTGTGAAAATTTTACATGGCTGTGAATTTTGGGGTGTAGATAAGCTTAAGTCTGCTGCAAACTTCTGTAAATGACCACTGGCACTGTATCTTGAGTAACACTCGGTTTTCTGGGACTCACTGGCAGAAGACAGCACGCGATGAGGACATCGATCTCGAGTCCGGGGAGTATGTGCCAGTCGGTCATATTCGGAAGTTTGGCCTTGAGAGAAGAAAAAAACACTTGATTTTGGAGTGAAATTTAGTTTTTCAAAATTTCGAATGGAACCTGTCATGCACGATTTTCTCGCGATAACTGAAAATCAGAAAAAGAGAAGTCAGAACAATCGAGTAACAATCGCGGGAAAGTTGCTAAATAAAACGGTGGGAAATTGCTATTCGCAATTTCTGTCACAATAGAACAAGAGTAGAGCTGTCCCATCTAAAACAGAGACGAGAGCATTCCCACGAACTGGATTGTTGTGACTGGAGTACTATTATTAACTGGACCAGAGTGAACCTTCGGTGGAAAGGTGGACAGCTAGAGTGTCCCAATGGTTCACGAGAACTTACAGTCTAGAGTGAAAACTTGTTCTTATTATTAAAACTGACTAACGTTAGACTCTTTTTAGTTACTTTATTAATTCTTGAGTTGCTTACCGACTTATTTACTTCCTGGTTCTTGAGCGTGCTACAATGTGAGTACTTAATTTAAATTCCTAGAGTGTGTTTTATAATTGTTATGTTGAGGTAAGGCGAGTTTTAGGTTGATCCATCTGAAATGGATCAAAGTTCCACTGTCTAATAAAAATAAACTTAACGGATTGTTCTAACCCGGTTTTTAACGGCGTTCATGTATTTTGGGTATCTAGAGACCTAAGTATGGGGACGTTTCTAATTCTAGAGTGGGGGGATATTTTAGTAGTAGCCTTTAAGCTGTAACGGGTCGTAGTCTCATGTCACAAGCGAACCGAACTGGCTCCGACCGTTCTTGAGGTAGAAAAACACAAGAGATGGTGTCCCTGACCCTTGAGCCAGTGGTTATAGGGCCTATTTTTCCTAAGCCTCATGTGTGACTGCAGTAGACGAATGTTACAATCATGTATTCCAGTCAAAATCTTTGGAATTTTCTAGATATGGAAGTGATAATGATAAAAGAAGATGTCAAGTGTTTAAGTCCTTTTCATTTAAAATCGATACGGGTTACGCTTCTTCAATAAGAACACGCAACTCGACACGAGATAATATAATATACAAGTGTTACAAGTAAAAAATTTCGTCGAAAGTTATTTTGTCATTTATTGTTCCGAGTACGCAAGCGGCGTTCGCAATCTGTATTGCCAGGGAGATTCTCTGTTTTAAAACGCTGCCTGCTCTGGGTTCCTCAGTGCATATGCTTAGGTTCTTACAAAGCTTGCTCAAAAAAACTTCTGTGCTGGGGCCGGCCGCGCCCTGAATTTCAAAAGCTAGCGGTTGAAAAAGATATCCATCATTTACAAGATCTTTATATTTGTCAATTTTTCGCTCTTCCGCTTCAGCGGCAGCCGTACCAGGGTTACAAACAGACCCGGCATTAATCCTACAAGGAGCTAAGGAGTCTACTACCGTTACATCCCACAAGAGCTGCTTACCATCAGCCCATGGAACGAGCGTCAAACCGTCTGGTCGCTTCTGATCGGTCCTGTAGAGGTGTCGTGGTTCTAAAACAGACGGAATGTGAGTAGATGATAGACTCTGCTTTATAAGGGCATTCAGGTTTGAATGCCTAGAGAATCTCCCTGCACTTTTGAGGCAAGAAAGACCATTCCAACCATCCTCGGTAACGTCTTTTCCGCACACGCATTTATGCCGTTCGCATATTTTTGATCCTAATCGAAGTCCTATCGCAATTCTGAGTTGTTGGTTCGACAGTTTTAACCTTAAATTTTTGCAGGGGATGACGTTCAACCATTGGGATCCAAATCTATCTTGGAACGCGTTGAACCTTTTCACGTCCGTTGGTTCGAGTCGTAAAATCAAGTCTGCAATTTCGCTGTCAAAAATTGGCTCCGTCCAATTTTTTTGGATTGCATTTTCCGGAGCCATTTCAATTTTTCCAAGGTCAAACCACCGTTTAAGCGCATCATCATAGGTTCCATCCACATGCTCCAAACCAAAGATTTCGCTCAAGGCATCTTTCGCTCCTACTGCTGAGGCTAAGAAAGCGGGTAAAGCGAGTAGACGAGCGGAAGAAACGCCCAAGCCACCTTTGGCTGCCGGGAGAACTGCTTGTAAAAACTGGTTATCATCCATTTTCACGTTGGTGACCTTGCATAACGAATTTCGTAGTAATTTATCGTAGCGTTCCAAAAAATCATTTTGCGAAAAACAAGGGCTCGTACGCAAAAAATATAGGAGTTTTGGCATGCTAAAGCAATTTTTCAGGAGGTAAAAACCATAATGGGCGTCTAGTTTGTCAATGACATCCGAGATTTTTTCAAGCTCCCTAATTTTTTCGTCGAGTAATTCTTTTCGGCAAAGTTCGCCGATTGGAGATCCTAAAATGAGGAGTTCTTCTTTTGTTTTTATTTTTATTTTGGGGCATATTTTTCGAAATTGTGTTAAAATTGAATTATACTGTGTACTAGTAGTCGGTCCCAAAAAACAAAGTTCACACTTCTCAGTGTTTAAGCTCAGGCCGTAAATTTGTTCCAATTTCAGAATGTTTTTAAGGTCCCGGAGTACTACCTTATAGTCGTCGGCTAAATTCCCATCATCTAAATACCAGATGTTAATTTTCGACTCCAACTGTTTGACTAGTGTATGAATTGTTTCCGCAAAAAGGGGTGGGGCTTCAGGATCACCTTGCTGAGTTCCGTCTTCTGACATTATGACAGAGCTTCCGTAAAAAAGGTAACTAGGTTTAGCATACGCGCAATGGGTGTAATTATATAATTCGGGGCGATTTGAAAAAACATGATTCAGCATTGTTTCTCTGTTTAAAGAGTTAAAGGCATTCTTAAAATCTAGTTTTAAAAGAACAGTACATTTTGGATTGTCGTCGCGTTCAATTAGGTTTCGAAACGAGTGCGCAGCTATTTCTGCTCCTCGTTTGGTACCGCATCCTACCTGTACGTTTCCGAAAAAATTTTGTCGCTCGGAGAGGGCCTTGCTTCCAGCGCATTTAGACGCGATACGTCTCAGCGTGTTGCCTATGGCAATCGGTCTCAACCCTCCGTCTATTTTTATGAGGGCGATAAGCTTTGCGCCAAAAAAGAAAGGTCTTAGTGGTTCCGGTATTTTGCCATCTCCAATGAGGTTTATCAGCTTAGTAAGCGATTTCAGAAAATTAAGTCCTGCACTGCCATTCGACTTACTAACAAGATCTTTAAAAATTTGAGGAAATATTTTATCAGGACCTGCTGCTGATCCGTTTGGAAAGGACATTATCGCTTTGTATAGGTCAAAATCGGTTACGAAAAAACTATCCAACTTTTCTGGATTTGGAGCTGCAAATTTGGCTCGCTGCGGGTGCTTAGATAACAATTTTTGATAGTTATCAGTTGAAAAAGGAGCTATTTTGTCATCCGAAGCAGCAAGCCTTATTCCTCCCTTTACATTTCCTTCATCGAGCTTACTACTTATTAACTTTATTCTCTGCTCGAGGTCACTCAGAGGCGGGCTTGAAACTTGGGGATGGGGTTTTGGAAGTGACACGTCATTTGCTCGAATTTTTTTATTTATCAAAGAGCTCATGCTTGTGGTCTGTTTGCGTCCACTTCTTTTCGGTTGCTCCAAAAAAAACAAGAACGACGTTAAAAAAATTAGCCATTTTGTAACATCTTCTACATTGTAGACGATGTCATTTATTTTGTCCGACAGATTTTCCGCCAAGGGAACACGCGAGTCTTTTGGTACTCTCTTGAGTACTCGGACATTTGAGATGGCTGTATTAACATAATTGTCTAGCACTAAATCATTACCTATTGTTACTTTATTAACAGATTTTACATCAACGCATAAAGGACACTGAAACCATTGGGTTTTCTTAGAGTCGCTAAGAGAAATATTTACACAACTGATAAGATACCAACTAGAACAACAATCACATTTAATCCAATTTATCAGTCCTGAAGGTTTTAAGCAATCTTTGCTTGTACACTCTTTGTTGTTTTTCCTCATCTTGACGCAGCATAAAGGTTAAAAAAAAAAGGATTTTGACTGGACTTTAGGGGACTGAACTAACCCATGATAAGCGGTTAGTGGGAATTTTACAAATCAGCAAATAAAAAAAAAAAAAAAAGACAACTAAATTAATTTAAAAGGTTAAAAGGCAGCTTAAGGTTAAAGGGTTAAAAGTTTAAAGGTTAAGGTTAAAAGGTTAAAAGGCAGGTTAAAAGGTTAAAAATGAAAAACAAGGAACAATCTCACCCGAGCTCAGTAGGTTCAGCGGCGCACCACCAGACTTCTCAAGCCAGTTCCAGTTCCCCACCTCCCCACAGAAAGCCACTTGACAGACCTGTCTCTAAAATCCCTCAGAGGGCGCTCCACATACAGGCACAAACATCAAACATAACAAATCTATTTAATAAGTTTATCACAACAATTAGGCATAGCTCAGCTATGCAGTGTCAACAGGTCTCGCGTTGAAATAAAAAACATCAAAGAAATATCAAGGCGATTACGATGTCCTGTCCCCAGTAGCATTCATGAAATTACCGAAGTCAAGCACGGCGCCAGAAAAACAAACAAAAAAACCTAGCCAGTAACTCGAACTCGTTTTTATTTGCGAACATTACAAACGTTGACCAAATTAAGTCTTCAATTGTTCACTGACTAGCTCAGCTATGCAGTGTCAACAGGTCTCGCGTTGAAATAAAAAACATCAAAGAAATATCAAGGCAATTACGATGTCCTGTCCCCGGTAGCATTCATGAAATTACCGAAGTCAAGTACGGCGCCAGAAAAACAAACAAAAAAAACCTAGCCAGTAACTCGTTTTTATTTGCGAACATTACAAACGTTGACCCCGGTTAAAGTATCAGTGGACACAGTATAAGAAATAGAAAAACCCGAGAACATTATAAAAAATGAACATTCAGATCAATCAGTTGGTTAATAATTCCTTTCGTAATAAACCTTCCGATAGTAAATTCCTGTAATTATTTCATAAGGCAATTAAAATTACACTGATTCCTTTCTCTATTCCTAAGACGCACGTGTTGGGCTGATCCTAGTGTGCCAGTAGGTCATATCTGGAAGTTTGGCCTTGATAAACTTATAATAAAAATTGATTTTTCAAAAATTCTATATAATATTCGCCCGGAAATACATATCGACGGAAAATAAAGCTAGGTCCTAAGACGACTGGCCAACGTCTGAACAGAGCTCAACATGCTTTTCACCGTCTCTACCAAAGCCAGTTCTTTTGGTGGTCTTTTCAACATCGGGTCGTAAAAAAAAACGTTACTGTTCTCCGGCTTCGACCAGAATGCTCAAATTAACTTAATTACATGCAGAAATAGTGAGCTCATGGCTGGGTCTCAGTACAGTATCCCCAGACCACGAGGTCACTCCTAAAAACAGGACTACTACTATTTCTAATATTACCATTGTTTTTGTTCAGTAGATAAAAATCATCATCTGTAACATTTGTCTACTGTAGTCACACATGAGGCTTAAGAAAAATAGGCCCTATAACCATTGGCTCAAGAGTCAGGGACACTATCTCTTGTGTTTTTCTACCTCAAATCAGTCGGAGCCAATTCGGTTCGCTTGTGACATGAGACTACGACCCGTTACAGCTTAAAGGCTACTACCAAAATATCCCCCCACTCTAGAAATAAGAACGTCCCCATACTTAGGTCTCTAGATACCCAAAATACATGAACGCCGTTAAAAACCGGGTCGAAACAATCCGTTAAGTTACTTTTTATTAGACAGTGGAACTTTGATCCATTTCAGATGGATCAACCTAAAACTCAACTTACCTCAACATAACAATCATAAAACAGACTCTAGAAATTTAATTACATGCAAAATTAACACTGAAAATTTAGTCCCAAAATATTTTTGGTTTTTTATTCAAAACGTACATGTCTAAATCAAAATTATGACTCAGAAACTTCCAGACAAATTAATTTTAAAATGTTTAATTAATTTTAGAGATTAAAAGTATTTTAATCTTAATAGTAATTTAGAGGTCAACTGTGATTGGCTAATTTTTTATCATGATGGTTTAAAACCAAATTGTATGTGATTTATTGTAAATAACATTTGTAAATTGATGTTTTATTGTCATTTAGAGTAGTTTATTGTAAAAATCTTGACGATGCACATAGTTGCGAAAACGTTTGAAATTTACTTTTTAGCAAAAATTTCTTCAATTTTATTTGTAAATTCGTGATAAACCAAAAAGCGAAGAGCTTGAAATTCCAACTCTTTTCCCATTAAAGGGCCAGTATAAAAATTTTTAATGATTTTCATCAATGTATAGAGAATTTTTATAGTGTTTTTTTTTATCGATACGTAAAAAATGGCCGATTTTTATTTGAGTTACCGAAATGTTTCATATTGTAGCAGCTAGCTCCCTGTTCCACAGCATCAACACCCTTATAACAGGGGAAAAAAGCAATACGAGAGCCTTGTAACAGCAATTCCTGGCCTATCCCTTAATAACAACTTGCTGAACCAAGGAAAGAACCTCTGACGACTACTGGAAGACAGTCCACTGAAGGAGAAAAAAGTGGTTGTGTGGCACGACGTGGTGAACAACACCATTAGCAGCCACAGAACAAACAACTATCGCCCAGCCGGTGTCGAGGAGCTGACAAACTATTTGAAGACGAAGAAGCAGCAGATATTGGCGATCGTTTATTGCAGAAGGGAAGGAACGCCCGACTTGTTTAGTCAGCTTCTCGGCACAGGGGTGCTCATTATTCCAGCTACAAAACGACTACTCTCCAAGAGCAAGCAAAACAACCCGGAGCAGCTCAAGGAACATTTGAAGCTGCACCAGAGTGCTGATTTGGAGCTGAAATCTCTGCGATTGGTAGTGGCACACAAAGAAAGGCTGTCAGAGCTGATTGGCAATATCAGGGGCAAACAACAGAGACCATCACAGACAAGGAGGAAGGCGAAAGCAAGACGTGAGCAGAAGCTGAAGGCAGAGGAAGTGTCTGCGCTTCAAAGACAGGGGTGAGAAGAGTGTGATTTGTTTTGCTTTGTGCCTTGTGAGTTTCATTACTCGTGGCCTGCAAAACAATGACCACAGTACTTTTTCCTGCTGTTTGGCTCAGACAAATTTTGAAAAGGAAACTAACTTGGAAAATTGTATTAGACTATTTAAAATTCTTTAAAAAAGTTCAAGTATCTGTACATAGACTGAAGTTTCTGAGAAAATGTCTGAAAAACGATCTAATACCGGACTTTTTGAAGTTTAGGGTCCACGAGAACGGGGTTTTTGCGGACCAAGCTGTGCATAATTTTCAATTGAAACTACTAAGGACTGAAACTTCTAGGGCAAATGAGGGTAGGAAAAGAGACGAGGAGATGCTAAGGAAAGCAAGATCACTGGTGCAAAAAGAAATTGACAAACAGTGGTGGGCATCCATTTTCCGATTCGTGAGGCGTCAAGTTGAGGCAAGCTTAAAGAAAACATCAGAAAACCATAGAAAAAAGTTAAAAAAACTGTCCGAGAGACAAGATAAACCTCTTGGGGGGAGAAATGAGCGATCAGTTAAGGTACTTGATAATATTGAACTGCCTGAATGGGTATATGAAGTGCTATCAATGGGTCCCAAGCATCCAATTAGAGACAAATTTAACGAAACACATTTTTTGGCGGATATCGACATTTTCCTCTCACAATTGAAAAATCAAAAAACATCTGGTGAAACGTTATGTGAAATAGAAGCCGCGGCAAAGGCATATGCAAAAAACGTACGGCAAACCCCAAGAGACAAAGCCGTTGAAAAAACGAGGAAATATCTCAAAGATAATGGGTTGCTGGCTGTGCCTTTTGATAAGGGGGTTGGTTTTTGAATAATGAGGAAAAAAATGAATCAAAGCTGGAATCCTTGTTGCAATCTGCTCAGTTTGTGAAAAAAGATGCAACCACTGATGAGGTGATACTGAAAATTGAGAAAGAACTTAACAAAGAATTACTAGCCATGAACATAAGAGACGAGATAAGTGATCAGTTATATTCTAAGATGAGATCAACAGGGGGGCAACCCGCCCGTTTGTACGGTTTAGCTAAGGTACACAAGGATGAGACACCCCTACGACCTGTACTATCACTTCCCGACAGCTCGTATGAGAATCTTAACAAAATGCTTGCAAAGTTTTTTGACAACATCGATGGAGCAAATATAGAAGCCAATACTAAAGAGGCTAGAGAAAAAATAGAAAACATTGCTCTAGATCCGGATGAAACCATAATATCTCTTGATGTGAAAAGTTTGTACGCCAACGTTCCCCTGAAAGAGGCAATTGAAATTGCTTTACAGAAGCTGTACAGCCAGGAGTCTCCTCCTGAAATTCAAAGAGCAACCATGAAAAGGCTTTTGAATATGGCGGTCAGCAAAGTATATTTCAAGTGTAATGATTCATGGTATGTATAAGTTGATGGTTTAGCAATGGGCGCGTCCCTCGCTGTAATTCTGGCAAACTTATGGCTGAAAGAATACGAATTTGCTCTACGACAACAAATACCGGTGGGAACGGGGGTACAGCAAATTAATGACAAAAACGGCTTGTGCCCATGTTGCAGCAGGAAAGTCACATATAGATCAAAGGGGGTTGAATGCGAGAGTTGCCGAAACTGGTATCATCTAAAATGCGGAAAAATATCCGATGACGTATACGCATCAATAACCGAGATAGTCTGGTACTGTGAAAGCTGCTGCCGAGCTAAGAACAAGGAGAAGGATACTCCCCAAGTGAAATTGTTCCTCAGGTATGTGGATGACATTGTTAGAACAGTCAGAGGGGAGCCGAGTTGTCTTCTCGATGCCGCCAATTCTCTTCATCCAAATTTGCAGTTCACTCTAGAGAAAACTAATTCGGACGGGAAATTGCCGTTCCTGGATTTGAACATAAATGTATCGCAGGATAGGCGTGTAACTTGCAGTTGGTATCAAAAACCAACAGATACAGGGACTATACTGAACTATAGAAGCTGCGCCCCAACTCAGTATAAGCGTAGTGTTATCCAAGGCACTGTACACAGGGTTTTTAGGAGTACATCTAGCTGGGAGCAATTTGATAAGGCTATGGAAACTAATAGGGCGCAATGGCTGACAAATCAGTACCCTGAAAATTGGTCCGCAAAGGTGGCTTCAGACGCCTTGTGCAAGATCATTGAGGGTAAAGGCAAGCTCCTGGATAGTGACAGGGGTTTGTCAGTTCAATCACCAAAGGATGAGAAGCCCCCAATGCTGATGGTGCAATATAGAGGTAACCAGAGCCAATGTTTTGCTAACAGGTTACGAAAGTTAACGAACGTTCAAGTGGTTTTCATGGTTTTCACCACAAGAAAACTACAATCATGTTTACCATCACTGAAGTCAGCATTTTCTAATGACCTCAAGTCAAGAGTGGTTTA